GTGAATTAGAAACGGAACGTGATAGAATTTCTAGATGTTAGATCTTTGATATATATCTGATGATATATAGTTTGTGTGGAGAAGATGAGAAGCTAAAGCCAGCTCCTAAAATGGACAGTTTCGCGCCTAAAATGGGTATTATAGGTTATTGAATTGATTAGGATAGGGTTGGGATATTTTAGCTCCTTATTGTATAGTAATCATTACACTTACCTTATACAGAGAACATTACGTAATACAGGGATATAAAATTGAAAATTTTATTTTAAAAATTTTTAAATAAGTTAATTTTTTTTTCTTAAATAAAATGTAAAACATTGTAATGAAATATTTCCTTATTCATCCCTGAATAGATTTGACAATGTTATCTTGATAATACATATCATTATACTGTATTATGTATGCTTTGTACAACAGTATTAATCATCTGTGCACATTCCTCTAGTCATTCATTTACTCATCTATTTACCCATTCATCCTTTCATCCATCCTTTCAATTTTTCATCCTTTCTGCTTTCATTTAATCATCCTTCAAGTTATGAACACTTCCTTTGCAATCTAGATTGAGGAAAAGAAACTGAACTAATCTTAGTAAAATGCTTCCTTAGTTTTTCTCATCAAATCAATTTTAGACTTTTTTGTTTCTTGCTCTTTAATTTTATTTTTTTGCATAGTTTGCATTTACCCGTCTACTGCAAGTTCGTGCTTGCAAAAATGAATTCAGCAACGTTTTTGCAAACTATTTGTCATGTTTACTAACAAGAAGGAAAATTATAAGTTAAGGATTTAAGTCTAAAATCTTGCAAATATTTATTTCCCAGTCCTCCATCTATTCCTGCTCATGGGCGCCGTTAACGGGGGAAGTGTCGTTTTTATAATTTCCAGTTAACGACCGCATCGTTCGAAAAAATAACCAACGCAGTTAAAACGGTTCTTTTAGAAACTTAACAAAAAAAATTAAAGAATGGTGTATGGATAGAAAAAATACGCTCTTTTCTCGTTCACGATTATCACATGTTAACAACAATCAAAAACCTGCTCAAAGATATTGATTGAACGAGCATTTTTGTAACGGAAAGATTTCAAAAGGCACATCGTGGAACGACTTATCCAGCTCGAGGCACTCGTTAAAAAACGTGGAACGAACGTGAAACGAGCGTGGAACGAAAGTGGAACGAACGTGGAACGAACGTGGAATGAACGATTTTCAAAATCGAGAACGTGCCCAGTCCTACATCTTAACTATCCTTGCACGCATCTTTCCTTCGTATTTCGTCTTCTTCATCTAGTTTGAACCAAAAATGTCTCGTTTTCTATGATTAGATTTTAAGACTATCGAAATACTATGAAATATGCACTTATGCTTTATCTTGTACTCACTCAACATTACGTGGTTCCTCAATCAAAATTTGAGGCAAATCGATCAAGTGGTTCCTGAGTTATGATCGTAAATACAAACAAACAAACTTGATATATATAGATAAAGCAATGCAAGCATCTTTTTTAATGTTTAGAACAACTAAACATTTATTTTCTCTTAAGAAGATTCAAAACAACGCTAGCTTTACCCAATCAAGCGTGCCTTTATGTTTAAGGTTTTATTGCGTTTTATATATTATTTCAAAATTCTTGGCAGCAATCAGAGAAAATGAATTGGAAGGAAAAACGTAATAATTTTTTTGCTGCGTGAAACCCTAAGCTGGATGGGAGTAAAACATAAACGAAGTTTGCGACGGTGAATAAATTTGTTCAGCTAATACCCAACAAACTAATTACCTACGAACCTAAATCTACCTAAATAACTAACTAACTAACTAACTAACTACCTACGAACCTAAACATACCTAAATAACTAACTAACTAACTAACTTACTAACTAACTAACTAACTAACTAACTAACTAACTAACTAACTAACTAACTACCTACGAACCTAAATCTACCTAAATAAATAACTAACTAACTAACTAACTAACTAGCTAACTAACTAACTAACTAACTTACTAACTAACTGACTAACTAACTAACTAACTACCTACGAACATAAATCTACCTAAATAACTAACTAACTAACTTACTAACTAACTAACTAACTAACTAACTAAATAACTAACTAAATAACTAACTAACTAACTAACTAACTATCTGACTAACTAACTAACTAACTAACTAACTATATAACTAACTAACTAACTAATTATCTAACTAACTAACTAACTAATTAACTAGCATAAATCAAATAAACTCAAATATTCACTGTTAAGTAACCTTTAAACCTGATTATTCTGATAATTAGCAATTAATCAGTTTGAGATAATTCAAGTTTTAGACTTGACACCATTTACTTTCAACTTCATTTCAATAATTTACAACAATTTTTAAAGGGAGTGACCGGCAATATATGGTATAGTTGAACTGAGAATGGAGTTTTGTACAGAATTTTTTTAGGATTCATTTAGGACCTATGAGAAGTTTTTACAGTGCATATTTGTTCAGCAAGAGCCCAAATTCAATTTATAAAATCCTTCTTCATTGTCCATTCTGGAGAGATGATTTTGAGAATCGGTTTTTAAAAATTATTCAATAACAACGAAGAAAAATGTAACAAAAATTCGAAAGTAAACTATTAGGATGAACAAATATGCACCGTAAAAACGCCTGACAGGTCTCAACTGAATCCTAAGATACTACTCTACAATACTACATACTCAGTTCAACTATCTTTCTACTTTGTATTCATAATTAACTTGCAATATAATATTAATAATTATACTAGTTTATGTATATAACAAACATAATATATATATTTAATATATATAATAATGCATAATATATTTTAGAACTACACGTATCTCCACATATATTGCTTCTAGATAAAAATACATAATGAATTAAGAATAAGAGGAGAGGAAGATAAGTAGGTCTTCTTTGGTTCCAGAATCCAAGGCTACTGATTTGCGGATTTTATAATCCTCTTTCGGGAATTTCATCCTCTACAATAAAATATTTTGAATAAGACTGAACAAATTACTGATTACTGTGATGACAACTTTTTTAACTAATAATTATTAAAAAGATTTCATATTTTTTTATTTCAGATAAAATGTGACAAAAAGGACACACCAACTGATCAAAATATGGGGCTTCTGCCTTTAGGTAAAATAATAATGATGATAATGATAATAATAATAATAATAATAATAATAAAAATAATAATAATAATAATAATAATAATAATAATAATAATAATAATAATAATAATAATANTTCTTCTTCTTCTTCTTCTTCTTCTTCTTCTTCTTCTTCTTCTTCTTCTTCTTCTTCTTCTTCTTCTTCTTCTTCTTCTTCTTCTTCTTCTTCTTCTTCTTCTTCTTCTTCTTCTTCTTCTTCTTCTTCTTCTTCTTCTTCTTCTTCTTCTTCTTCTTCTTCTTCTTCTTCTTCTTCTTCTTTATAAGTATATATATATATATATACATTTGTTTTCCATGATTTTTTATTTTAAATTTTTTAAATTTTAAAATTTTTTGATATTTATAAATTTACAATGTATTTTATCTAGGACCTTATCTCTGGCATTCAGAATGTTATTCAGGCAGAAATCTCAGAAAAATCAAATATAATACAAATTACAATGCTATTCAACTTAAACATTAGACCTTTCTGGAAATAGATCTGGGAACAAACGTCAAACGAATTTCAAAATAAAAAAAAATCTTTTCAAAACATATTATTTACGATACCGCCAAAAATATCGCAATCTATTAACTGAAAACTAATGTTTTATTGATTATAGGGCAAAAAATGTTTTATCAACGTTGATCAAAATCTTACTAAATTATGTTTTTAAAATTATGTTTCTTCTTTATATTTGACTTGACTGGTTGGGTGTTTGCTTGTTTGTTTCCAATCAACTTCAAAATGGCCGAATTTGTGAATGAAGAAAAATCATGACAAATTCTATCGAGAAAAAAATGGCGCGGAGCCTGATAAATGCCTTGATTTTTTTAATAAGCGTTTTAATTTTTGTTTTTTAATCCGCTGATAACGATATTTTTCCTCTGAAGCTGTGTTTTCATTTCTGTTATCAGCTGTTGACTGTTTAATGAGTTTGAACTTGGAATCTTTAAACAAATATTTTTATTTCACCAGTTTCAAGTTCATTCAGTTTCCTTTCAAGCCAACCTTAGAAAAAATAAATATTTTGTATTCATAATTTTTTCATTGATGAATCCAGTAATCGGCAACAAACAAAAATAATTTTTAAAAGAGCTAAATATTCGATAAATGTTTTTTTTTGTTTATATCGAGCAAGATTTTTTTCTGTAAAATTCAGAAAAATTAAAGACGATTGTTTGATTTTGTTGATTTATTATGATCAGCTGAATTTACTCTGAATTTATCTGTTTGAAGGCTGCAAAGGCTCTTACAACAGCCAAAAGATCGTTAGCTGAGATATTTAAAAACTTCCAATTCGATTGCATTGGTAGGTTCAGTTTTTACACCTTCCATACTACCCAGTCCCTTTAGTTCTTCCAAATTTATTATCTTACCTTCTGCCTAGAGGGTTTCCAGCGAAAAGGGTAAATCGTTTGGAGAAAATTTCGCATTCGTTCGCTTGAGAAAAATGCGAAAATTTCCTTTTTTTCGCGAAATTTCCCTTTAATCTGACTTATAATTTTCGCGAAATTTTTTTTTCGCGTAATCATTATCGCATTTTAACGACCCACCATCCCTTTTTTATTTTAACATTTTATTAATTTTCTTACACAATTTACAATTTACAATTTACAATTTACAATTTACAATTTACAATTTACAATTTACAATTTACAATTTACAATTTACAATTTACAATTTACATTTGTTTTTTTTTTCATTCCAAAATTCTTAAATACGGAATTATCCAGTTTGTTTAATATTTATTAGATTTTTTATTTCTTTTAATTATTTTTACACAACTTTCTTTGATATTTCTTGATTCTTTGATTTCTTAATTCTTTGATTTCTTGGTTCTTTGATTCCGAGATTTGTTAATTACTTGATAGTTAAATTCCTGGAATTTTCAATTTCTTCAATTATCATTTTTATTCTTAAGGGGTTCTGTACCCCTTTAGAATGTCCCTGAGATACCCTAAAGTACCCCAGAGAGAACCCCCAAGTATTGGAGTATCCCTGATTATTCCTAAGTACCACTCAGTACCGTTGAGAGTACTAATGAGTATCCCTGAGTACCCCTAAGTACCCCTGAGAGTACACCTAAGTACCCCTGAGTACCCTCTAAGTACCCAAAGTACCCATAAGTACCCATTAATACCTTAAGTATCCGGACCTGGTTCAGTAAGTTCCTGACTAGTATGGAGAATGAGATGAACAATATCTTGATGTCTGCTGAGCAAAGGTTTATCAATCCTCTCCTAAACTTCAGGAAGGAGCAGATAGGTCAGTTCTTTTTTATTTCATCTCAGGTTAAAACTTTTGTATTGTGAATCTCAAGATCAAGCATTGATCGTTATTTTATGGAATTTTTAAATTCCTCTTTGATATTCTGCAGAGATAACTTTAATATTAACGGATCAAGCATTTATCCTCAAATTTAAAATTGCCAACATTGGATGTATCAAGATCAAACATTTATCCTCAAATTTAAAATTGCCAACATTGGATATATCAAGATCACACATTTATCCTCAAATTTAAAATTGTCAACATTGGATGTATCAAGATCAAACATTCATGCTCAAATTTAAAATTGTCAACATTGGATATATCAAGATCAAACATTCATCCTCAAATTTAAAATTGCCAACATTGGATATATCAAGATCAAACATTTATCCTCAAATTTAAAATTGCCAACATTGGATATATCAAGATCAAACATTTATCCTCAAATTTAAAATTGCCAACATTGGATATATCAAGATCAAACATTTATCCTCAAATTTAAAATTGCCAACACTAGATATATCAAGATCAAACATTTATCCTCAAATTTAAAATTGCCAACATTGGATATATCAAGATCAAACATTTATCTTCAAATTTAAATTTGCCAACATTAGATATATCAAGATCAAACAATAAAGATTAACGATACTCCAAACCATAATTCAGACTTAAGATTCAAGATGAATATTAAAATCGTATAAAAAAATGACAAAGCTAAATATGAACAGGGAACTAAAGAAATTGAACCATTATATGAACACAGTGGTACAGTGGTAACCAGAAAACCGTAGACTGAATGTTGTCTTCAGTTTTTCTTGAAATCTTTAATTGGTTTAACCGATATATCTTTGAAAATGTAGATTTGTTTGAGCTAAATTAGTTACAAATTTTATAAATGAAAGAAGCGAAGGTCATAGTGATCCTAAGGTTAATTACTAGGCTTATTAACAATTTTTCCATTGTTTTCTGGTTATCACTCACTGCACACACATTTTACAACCCCCCTGATTAGGATCGGTGAAGCAGTCAAAAAAGGATTTTGAGAAATCTAGCGGGAAATTATGCTCGGCTCAAGATAAATATATCAGGGACAAAATTCATGATCTTTTAAAAAATTTTTTTTAATATTCTACTTTTATTTGATTTTTTTTAATTTTAGAACAATTCGTAAAAATAAAACAAAATGTAATATGATTTAATATTTTCTTACCAAAAAGAAATGCACAATATTTCTTTAAATTCTTAATAAATTAAAACTGATCTAATTCCCTGAAACAACATTTTAACGATTTTTTACAATTTTTACAATTTTTACAATTTTTACAATTTTTACATTTTTTTACAAATAAAACAATGATTTACTCCGAGTAGTACAAGCAGCAAAAAAGAGGAAAATTTAGCGGAAATGTCAGAAATAGTCAGGTTAATATCTATCTTCTATCTCTATCTTCTATCTTCTATCTTCTATCTGCTATCTTCTATCTTCTATCTTCTATCTTCTATCTTCTATCTTCTATCTTCTATCTTCTCTTCTATCTTCTATCTTTTATCTTTAATCTTCAATCTTCAATCTTCTATCTTCTATCTTCTATCTTCTATCTTCTATCTTCTATCTTCTATCTTCTATCATCTATCTTCTATCTTCTATCTTCTATCTTCCACCTTCCACCTTCTATCTTCTATCTTTTATCTTTAATCTTCAATCTTCAATCTTCTATCTTCAATCTTTTATCATCTATCTTCTATCTTCTAACAAATTGTTTTTAAAAAGATTAAATGTAAAATGTCACTTTATTTTTAACAGTTTTCATTATATAGATAAGCCAGAGTTTACAAGGTCAAACTTAAAACTCTTAAAACTCCATAATTTTGTCAATTGATAATTTATTATATACTAGAAATTCATGGCGCTTCGCGCACTTCTTTCTTGGCATTTAGGGCGCTTCGCGCCCATCTTCTATTTAAATTGTCAACATGTTCTTTTTGTTTACATTTTAAAACAAAGAAGAAAAAAATTTTGCGAATTTTCAAAAAAAATTCGCGGATTTTCAAGAATTTAAATTTTTTACAAAATTAAAAACCTTTAAAACACATTTTTTTAAATTTTTATCATTCATAAGCCTTCCCTGGGATAACGCGAGGTGCCACAAAAAATTTGGGCCCGATCGGTTCAGCCGTTTTGACGTTTATTGGATACAAACAAACAAACAGACAAACACACAGACAAGCCAAATTTATATATAGATTTATCACATTCATCGATATAAAGAATTTTTATTACTTTTATTTTTAAATTTTGTATAAATATATTTCTAGAATTGAACAGAAAAGCCTGAATTCAGCATCACTAGACTACGTGTACAATATTCATATAGTTCAGGTAGGCACCTGTACTGTACTGTACTGTACTTTCTGTACTCTATTACACTGTACTGTATTGTAATGTACTGTACTTTCTGTACTCTATTACACTGTACTGTATTGTACTGTACTGTACTGTACTGTACTGTACTGTACTGTAATTCACTTTACTGTATTGTTATAATGAAGTTTCAAGAATTTAAATAAATAAGTTTTATTTTAATTGATATGTCTGAATAAGTTGCCATCATTACTTTTACAGAGTCGTAAAGAAGTATTTAGGAATATAAAGTTGATGCACATGTAATCTTAAATGCACTCAAGTATGAGGAATGTTAATAACCCCAACCTTCAGATAAACTTAAAATTGTAAAAAATCAAGGGAATATTCCTGAATTAAAAGGGGAATAGGATGAATCATAGTTTTAGTTTAGAGTGGCACATCCGATTCACAACGGTACCCGGATTTGTTGGCTGCAGAAAAAAGGAAATTGTAAGAATTAAACCCTTTTTTAATCAAGGCAACCGTCGATATCTTCCACATTATTAATCAGATAAAGTTTGGACTGGTACCATTTTGAATCTGGCATGCCCTAGGAATGGGGGATAACTAGAAATTACGTTAATAACAGTCCCTTTGCGTAAAAATATTATTTAATATTTTTTTAGGAGAGAAAAAAGTTTGAATTTGTTGAAGCATTGCTTGCGTTTACAAGAAGTTGGGTCAATTACTACAGGTATATAGTAACAGTTTGGTCAACTACAGGTATATAGTAACAGTTGGGTCAACTACAGGTATATAGAAACAGTTTGGTCAATTACTACAGGTATATAGTAACAGTTGGGTCAATTACTACAGTTATATAGTTACAGTTGGGTTAACTGGTATATAGTAACAGTTTGGTCAACTACAGGTATCACAGTAACAGTTTGGTCAACTACAAGTATATAGTAACAGTTGGGTCAACTACAGGTATATAGTAACAGTTTAGTCAGCTACAGGTATCATAGTTTCAGTTTGATCAACTACAAGTATATAGTAACAGTCGGGTCAACTACAGGTATATAGTAACAGTTTGTTCAACTACAGGTATATAGTGACAGTTTGGTCAACTACAGGTATATAGTAACAGTTGGGTCAACTACAGGTATATAGTAACAGTTGGGTCAACTACAGGTATATAGTAACAGTTGGGTCAATTACTGCAGGTATCATAGTAACAGTTGGGTCAACTTACAGGTATCATAGTAACAGTTGGGTCAACTATTTTTTGAAAGAGAAGTTTTTGTTCAGACTAGAATTTTCTATTAACTATAACTGTGCAAGTTGCAATCTGCGTAAATCTGTTATACTTAAAACTTAGACTTTTTTATCTAAGATATGAATTTGAATTTGAAATATCAATCATTTATTAAACATCAGGTTGAAAATATAAAGAGATGTGAATATTAGATTTTCTTGTTTTTAGAGTTGGAAATACTGTTGCAGCAGAATATGGAGCTTATATGGAGGACTTGGCAACAAGGAATTTTGTTAAATTAAAAACTAGTTGATTTTGGAGGATTTTTATGCATTGTTTAGTAGATTTCTTGGTTAGTTTAGTGGCCTGGTTAGTGTTTATGTTTATTGCTGTAGTTGTAAACTTACAGTGGAGTCTACAGTATGAATAACCTTAAGATTAAAGTTCATTGTTGAAATCTATTTAGGTGCCTGTCTACCTGTCTATCTATCTATTCATCTATCCATCCATCTATATTTGTATCCAAATATCTATCTATCCCACTATATAAAGTTTAACTACTCTATGCGTAATATATTTATTTGCATAAGAAAAGAAACAAATATATTCAATTCTAAAATGTTTTACATCCAAACATTGACTACATACAATACGCACATACATACTATATATATATATATATATATAAACAGGGGTACACACAAAGAATGAGACTGTAAAAACTACAATTTGACGATCCCGAGATCAAATAAAGTCTTCTTATGTTATAAATAAAGCATTTTAATAGTTGCTGAATGATTTGACAAAGAAAATAACAATTTTACAGTAAGAGGGAATCGTGAATATAAAGAAACACACAGTATAAATTCCGTACAGTCGTCCATGAATATCATCGCGCATTTTCTAAATTACTGAAAGATAAGAAAACATGAATTAAAAAAAACTTAGTTGTCGTAAATATCTTTTTCCAAGATTTGATTATGCAAAATTTAGAGTTGAGAAAACCCGTGAAAATTTTAGTAGCACAGTGGAATCCTACAGCAAGCTCAAGGTAAAATTATAGAACTAAATATTGCTTCGGTCATTTCTTTTGTTAAAATGCTGCAAACAGTTTTTTTTAGAAAATCCGCTATCACAAGCTTTAAACTTTTGAACAGAAAACTAATATGATAACCGTCTGTTTACTGTTTAGGATCGAATGTTGAAGAATGGGGAGGATCCAGGACTATTCAACAAGATGTACACAAGGTAATTTTAAAAAATACGCTCACCATGTACTGTCAAATGACCCTACTGCCTTAGAGTTAAACTTTTTCTTTTTTTTACGTGCTTCATATACATGTACAATGGATTACGATCAAGGAGTATGGAATAGTCGGCTCGGCTCGCCCTACCATATGATTATACATTCATTGCAATCATGGTACTCCATTTAAAAAAGAGTTTTTAAGATAGTTTTTTAATTTTAATTTAAATTTGGTTTTTTACTGTACCATATTAAAAAAACAATTTTTTATATTATAAAAAAGACGCTTGTATTGCTAATATTTTTGCATCCCAATAGAATGTATTTTTTATTTGTTATTCCCCCTGATTTTTCCCCTGTTTGCAATAGCCTATTCTGAATACATGCACGCGTTATTTGTACATCAGACACATATTTTTTATTCAAATGGAGTTGTGTCTGCAAAGCATGTGTAATCATATGGTAAGGCGGGCCGCGTCGTTTGTATCTCTCTTCTATTCCATACATTCCAAAATTGGTTTTATTTAATATGGTATTGTAAAAACCAAATTTAAAAGATTAAAAAACTATCTTTAAAAACTCTTTTTCAAATGAAGTACCCTGTCTGCAATGAATGTATAATCATATGGAAGCGCGAGCCGCGTCAGTTGTATATCCCTTCTATTCTATACTTATTGATCGTAATCCATTGTACATGTACATGAAGTGCGTAGCATAACATTTTTAGTAATCGAAGAAAAAGTTTAACTCTAAGGCAGTAGGGTTATTTGAAAGTGCGAGATTACGTTCAAAAGTTTTTATGTACTTTAACTTTACGTAATTTTTATATTGTCCAAATACTGTCTTTCTATTCCAATGTATTCTGGCGGTCATTGTATGTTAATGTGTTTTTTGGGAAAATATAATCATTTTAATTGTTTAGTTTGAGTCTGGCAAACCAATTTGAAACTAGTTTCCTCTGAATTGATAATAAAAGCTAATAAAGCTATTAAAATAGAAAATGAAGAGAAGAGAAAACGCATAATTTGTATTTTTTTCTCAATTTAGAATTTTCGGATGACATAAATATTTGCACAAAATACTAATTATCATTATTATCAAAAATTATTATTATCATTATTATCCCCAGCTATTATTATCTAAATATAATTAACAATATTATTATTTTTAGGCAAGGATATCTGTATGTGCAAGCGCGTAAGACGATGAAAATGACAGGATGGAGCAAACATTTTTGTCAATATCAGGAGCGCAACCAATCATACCGCGCTTCAATGGCTTCGATCAAAAGAATTAAATTTTTGTTGAACTGCCTTTCATTATGCCATGAAGGATGCAAATAGACCAACTGAGGAGGAGTGGGGGGGGGGGGGCGAAGTTTTAAAGTAGAGCATAATCAATAACGGTGAGAACCAAAAAAATGTGAAATTTATCGTCTTTCTTTTTTTTCTGAAGAAATGTGTTATTTAATCTACAATTAATATTACATTATTGACATTTATATCAAATTATTGGAAAAAGTTCAAATGAAGATTACAAAATACATATCATTATTAAGAGAAAAAAAAGACTGCAAGAATTCCACTGTGTCATGGTGCTCATCTCATCAAATTTTATTAGGATAATTTTGAACCAACAAAAGTATTGACGGCTAAATTTGTCATCTTTATACAATATGCATCTTAAATTAACAACAAATTCTCACTTAATCTGCGCAAATTATAGTTCTTTTTTAAATTTAAATTAGAAAAATTATCTTCTTTTTTTAAACGACATTTATTGATTGATTGTACATTAGGGTAAGACCAAAACCTTAACTCTGATCCCGTACAATCAAATTGACGGAAAAATCGGGACCGGTGAAACTTTAAGGAACAAAAACAAATATTAATTTTCTCATTTTAAAATTTTTTTTTGCTAAAAAAGTAGTAAGTTTAAATAATAAAAGAAATAATTTGTTAATGTTCAGAGTGATAAACTGTGTATGCAAAGATGAAGTGAGTGAAAAGTTTAGGTACGAATTTTAACTTTTATTGTAATTGAAAAATAATTATTTTGGATAAAGAAAATGAATTATTGTCGTTTTTATGCATTAGAAATGCCACAATGCAAACTAGATATAAGGAGATAGAAGGGTAAAATTTATGCGACATAACAAGTAGGACTTTGTGACCTCGTGGCTCGTCTAGTTTTGATTGTAACGCACATGAGAAAAGCAAAATTATTCGGTTACATATTGGAAATTCAAAACATGGTTGTTCGATAGGTCCTCGATAGGAGGATATATAATTGTACAAGCTTTCAATCTTACGTACAGTTTACTTTAACTTGACGTTAAATTTATAAGTCATAATTGTTACAAGTTACAAAATCCATGGTTACATTTCATTTTTTAAGAACATTCCCTTTAAATGACCGTTTTTGCCCAGGTTTTCAGTGACCGGTCATGTGGTGTCAGGTGGTGGGAATACTGATGAGGGGGGTAGTCAGGTTATCACACACACACTACAGGTTAGATTACTAGCTCGGCGGGCTTTATAATTATACCTTCTCTAGTTTCTATTTGACGCTGGTTTGTTTTCGTAGAAAAATTTTAAATCATAGTTTTACCCATCCATAGATTAATTAAAATAACAGATAGGACACTATACATTTCGTCTTTTTAAGATTTAGGGGTTTTTCGTTCATAATAACCTTGAGATAGAAGCCCAAAGAAGTTTCGCGAGAGCAGTGGCGAATTACAAGACAGGAAGAGCATGCGCTGCTTGCGCGGAACTCCTTTGGGCCTCTGCCTCAGGGTTAATGTTTAAAAAACCCTAAATCTTGGAAAGCCAACATTTAGTGTCCTATTTAATTAATCTATGGTTTTACCTAACAAAAAGAGGTTGTAATTGATAATATTCAAAGTTTTAAAACTGAAATGACATAAAATGGTTTCATGCATGATGTATCATATTTTACTTTAAACGTAGAATTCAAAATTTTAATTCAAAGCAATTAAAATAATATTTTTGTGCCATTTAAAAATATCTTTATCATTACAACTTAATTTAACAGATATATGAAGACTTTTTTTTATTTTTTACCGAATTTGAAAGAAAAAAGTTTGTTAAAAGTCACACTCACTTGATCATAATTATATTGTTTAACATTAATAATGCAATTTTGTACATCTAAATAGCAGAAATATTTATTGACCTTGATATTTAGACATTATTTTTGATTAGGCTTTAAGAATCTTGCTCTATTCATGTAGTAATAAAATGCTTGCGGATTCAATGCAACAGTAACAATTCGAAAAATGGTCATAATCAAACACTTTTCAAATTGGAAAAAAATCATTTCTTCCATATTTGATCTGATAAAGGTTAAAAGGGTTCCTTTGTAAATCGGAGATGATCCTCTTTAAATTGAGGATTTCTTGAAACTACAAGACAACGATCCCTTTAAGATGTATAAAATTGCAAGATACAGGGGCTGGGTCAACAAATTTTGCGCTAGGAAAAGAATTAAAAATGCTTGATGGTCATGGTGTAAATCTTTGAATTTCAAACTTTGATTATTTTAATTAAACAGAACTTATAGTTTGAAATATCTAAGGCCTAAAACATTGGGTTGCAAAGATATAGGGATTAGAAAATCTTAGTTTGTGGCAAAGACTCAGTTCCTCACCAGATAGTTCCTCACCAGATAACTTGAGACATTCAAATTAATCAAAAATTACTACGATGTTTAGGCCTTGTCAGATCAAGTGAGAAAGAATTGGGTTGAAGCCATGGGAGGTACTTGGCCAGCTGTTAATACTTTACAGGTTAGTAGGATTCATGTACTTGTACATGAAGATATATGCACTTGTACATAAGGATATATGTACTTGTACATAAGGATATATTTACTTTGACATAAGGATATTGTACTTGTACATAAGGATATATGTACTTGTACATAAATATATATACTTGTACATAAGGATATATTAACTTTTACATAAGGATATTGTACTTGTCCATACGGATATAGGTGCTTGTGAATAAGAATATATGTGTATTGTACATAAGGATATATGAACATGTACATAAGAATATATATGTACTTGTACATAAGGATATATGTACTTATACATAAGAATATATGTACTTGTACATAAGAAATTGTGTACTTGTAATTAAGGATTATGTGTACTAGTACACAAGGATAATTACACGAGGTCCCAACAACATGGGAATTAAGATTCCCCAAATTCCGGTATTTCAAAATGTGGTCTGTCTTGCAAAAAAAAACTTGTTTAACAAATGTTAGTCATCATAGATTGGTGTCAATATTAATTTTTAATCGATTGTCTAGATTTAAATCCTGTACAGTATACCCCACTTAACTTTTCGTGACCAATCCCTTTAAGAATGTTAAAATTACGCTTACAGTTCCTTTAATAAAGTTGAATCTAGAGAATCAAGGCTGACAGTGTAGAGGAGAATTTAAACAGTTCAGCGTATACTTTCCTCAAGGATTGTCTTCAGGTTAGTTCATTGTATACTTTCCTCAAGGATTGTCTTCAGGTTAGTTTAGCGTATACTTTCCTCAAGGATTGTCTACAGGTTAGTTCAGCGTATATTTTCTTCAAGGATTGTCTACAGGTTAATTCAGCGTATAGTTTCCTTAAGGATTTCCACAGGTTAGTTCAGCGTATACTTTCCTCAAGGATTGTCTACAGTTTAGTTTAGCGTATTCTTTCCTCAAGGATTGTATAGAGGTTAGTTCAGCGTATACTCTCCTCAAGGATTGTCTACAGGTTAGTTCAGCGTATATTTTCTTCAAGGATTGTCTACAGGTTAGTTCAGCGTATACTTTCCTCAAGGATTGTCTGCAGGTTAGTTCAGCGTATATTTTCTTCAAGGATTGTATACAGGTTAGTTCAGCGTATACTTTCCTCAAGGATTGACTACAGGTTAGTTCAGCGTATATTTTCTTCAAGGATTGTCTGCAGGTTAGTTCAGTGTATACTTTCCTCAAGGATTGACTACAGGTTAGTTCAGCGAATACTTTCCTCAAGGATTGTCTACAGGTTAGTTCAGTGAATACTTTCCTCAAGGATTGTATACAGGTTAGTTCAGCGTATACTTTCCTCAAGGATTGTCTACAGGTTAGTTCAGCGTATACTTTCCTCAAGGATTGTCTACAGGTTAGTTCAGCGTATATTTTCTTCAAGGATTGTCTACAGGTTAGTTCAGCGTATACTTTCCTCAAGGATTGTCTGCAGGTTAGTTCAGCGTATACTTTCCTGAAGGATTGTATACAGGTTAGTTCAGTGCATACTTTCCTCTAAGTTAATTTATAGCACTCAGTGAGAAACATATAACTGAAGCATAGGAAGACGACTGTTTAACTCATAAAAATTAGGCAATTAGAAAAACTATGTTCTTTATAACAACAATAAATACATAAGATTGGTGAAATGTAGTCTTCATATTCTAAAATTTCACGCATCACACTGTAAAGGGCGCTCATCAATAATGTAAAAAACAAACAGCACAGGGTGTCAGAATATATTTGCCAAATGTTGAAATTTAAAGCGTTTGTCGACGAAATTCATCCATAAATTAATAATGGTCAACTTTAACATTTGGTCTAGCAACAATAATATTTTTAACTTAAAATTGGATTGTTAATTAATAATTCAATCTCCATATAAGTGTCTTGCATGCTAACTTATGCAGGGGAAATAAGGAAGAAAAATTTAACATTTTTTAAAGATAGAAAATTTTTCACGCAGAAAAGGTTTAGAGGGAGTGACCGGCTATGTAAGGTAGTTGAACTGAGTATGCAGTGTTGTGGAAAACTTCTTTCGGATATTCATTTGAGACATATTAAACTTTTTAAAGATCTGTAAATCCTGAGTTTGAGCAAAAATTCGACGTTCAAAACTCCTACTTTGGGGGTGGATACGTTTTCAGAATTAGTTTTTTTTAAATTATTAAATAACGACAACGAAAAATAAAGTAAAATTATACAGTAATCTAATTAGATGGTTAGGAACATATTTCTCAAAAGAAATTTGTCTATAAATCAATGCTAAAATCGATTATTTCGTTTTTATTATTATATGGAATTTCTTATCTTCTTTGAATTTATTCGCAGATTTCTTCAAATTCTTCAAATGTCGTCTTTTCAATAATAATTCTAGAAAATCTGCGAAATTCTTTGTAAATAATGAGAAACCAGAATGATGAGAAAATAGAAACTAATAATTGAACAAGATTACTTATTTTCAATGATAAGATTAATTTTTATTTTCTCAACATGTTCCAATACATTGCGCTCAAAACTCAGGATATACAGATCTTTAAAAAGTTTAATATGTCTCAAATGAATCCGAAAGAAGTTTTCCACAACACTGCATACTCAGTTCAACTAACTTACATAGCCGGTCACTCCCTTTAAGGGTCACTTGAAATTTGTCACGAGTCCCTTTAACATTTTTAGCTTTATTTTTATAATTTTATCATTTTTCAAAATAATTTTGGTTCAAAAATGACCAGAAATCCTATTATGCCGGGTACTTCTGCTAAAATCATAATTTAAGACATCAAGCGCGGTATACGGCTGAAATATCAATTATAAGTAACCATGGACAACGCCGGGCACTTATTTAGTTATAAAAAAACTTTATTCCTTAAAGTTCTTTATATTTTGAATATCTGCTTAAAGAAAAAAATAAATAGTTTGAACTTTATTTTTTAATGGTTAATATTATTTCAATAATTATATTCTGCAGGAACTGGAGGACAGGGGGCTTCATGAAGAAGGTCTCTACAGGGTGGGAGGAGTCATGTCTAAAGTTAAAAAACTGCTAAATCAGGTTGATATATTTTTACTGACTATTATTATCATTATTTTCATTATTATTAACATTATCATTATTATTACTATCATCAATATCATTGGTGTTATTTTTTCTATTAAAAATTATCATTATCAATTTAATTATTATCATTTGGTAATTCCCATTTCCTATTATAGAACAGTTATTAATTCAATTTGTTCACACCTGCATCAATAAATCAAAACGAGGAATATTGTAAACAATCGGTTTAATAACAAAAGTATTTCAACTTAAATATTAGTTTTTTTGAAATTTTGTTGTCAAACCAATCATGCGCGTACCTAGAAAATTTGGATTTTCACCTTCTTATTTTTTGGAAATTTAAGTTTTTAACTTTTGGGCCTAAAATGGTTTAACCTACTCTGCATTTACAATAAAATGTTAAATAATCAAAAAATTCAAAATGATCAAAAATGTGTACGGGCATTAGTTATGATAACTGAAGTCAGAACGTGTTTGTTGTGAATCTCGGGATCGCTATACTTACTTGGTGATCTTACCCTACTAATTTTAAACTTGTCACAGCGGATATCAAGATCAATTGCTGCAGATTAGCGCCGCCATTGAACGCAAACGTTAAGACTGTTCTGTACCTTTCACGAAAATTTTTACAATCCGGATAATTTAAAATTTCAAGTCTATGGTATTTAATATTTCTACAAAAATAACGCTTAAAAATTTTAATTTAGGATTTGATATTCTATTGGTACACGGTAAATTGGGGGCCCGGGTTAAAAGTTAGTGAACCTTAACTTTAGAACCCATTTTCACCCGTAAAATAAAGATTATTCGTGCTCTACCCTTTTTTGTTGGACTGTAAATTTTCAATATTTAAGTCTAAAAAATTGCTTAAGATATTTTCGACGGTTTTCGAGTTAGAGATCGTATGAAGACCGAGAGATATCGATATAAACAGAAGGCAATTCGTTAAAGTAAATTTTCCGGGATTATTTTAGTATTTAAACACTACTATATACTCCTGCAGGCTATAGACCCTGGTCCTGACGATGCTGCCCTGGAGCTTCATGATCCTAAACTCTGGGAGTCAAAAACTCTGGCTAGCGCGGTCAAACAGTATTTAAGGTATGATTAAAGAAAGCACTGTCACCTAGACAAAAGGAGAATTTCAAATGTATGCAACAATACAGGTTCAGCTTTGGGATCTCGTAACTCCACTAGTTTTGATTTTAGTAAATTGAACAAGAAAAGTAAATTCATTTGAAATTCAAATTTTGGTTTTTCTCTTTAGCTCTTTTAAAAAAGAGTGTATGTTTAAAAACATCTTACATGTAGTTTAATTAGTATCAACGGTTTATACAGGGGGGGGGGAAATATTAAATAGTATTTAAGTTATTAAGTATTAAGTATGAGGTCAAAGGATAAACAGGACCAATGCGAGGGTGTATACAGAGGTCAAACTGTACGGTGTTAGGCGAATATATCACTATAATGAAGACGACTTTATGATTTAAGTTTTAATGATTAACAAGCTTTTTTGAATTACAAGTTTAGAAGTAATTGATGAGAAGCTTTTTTAATTGACAGCTTCTCTTTGTTGATAAGCCTGTATTTCAGGGATCTCTTTAATCCTGTATTTCAGAGATATCTCTAAGCCTGTATTTCAGAGAACTCTCAAAACCTCCATTTCAAAGACCTCTCAAAGCATTTATTTCAGAGACTTCCCTTACTCTGTATTTCAGAGAACTCTCTAAGACTGCATTTTAGGGACCTCTCTAAGCCTGCATTTCAGGGACCTTTCTAATCCTGTATTTCAGTGACTTCTCTAAGTCTGTATTTTAGGGACCTCTCTAAGCCTGTATTTTAGAGATCTCTCTCTGAACCTGTATTTAAGGGACCTTTCTAAGTCTGTATTTCAGGGACCTCTCTAAGCCTGTATTTCAGGGACCTCTCTAAGCCTGTATTTCAGGGTCCTCTCTCTAAGCCTGTATTTCAGGGACCTCTCTAAGCCTGTATTTCTGGACCTCTCTACGCCTGTATTTTAGTGACTTCTCTCTAAACCTGTATTTCGGGGACCTCTTTAAGTCTTTATTTCATGGACCTCTCTCTAAACCTATAGATCAGGGACTTCTCTAAGTCTGTATTTCAGAGACCATTCTCTAAGCTTGTATTTTAGGGACCTCTTTTAGTCTGTATTTCAGGGACCTCTTTATGCTTGTATTTCAGGGACCTCTCTAAGCCTGTGTTGACCTATCAGCTGTATCCTGAGTTTATTGCCGCGGTGAAACATGACAGTGATACTCTGAGAACACAGGAGATTAAATTAGGTAAATTATATCAACCAATCATATTCATTTATCTAGAAGGGTAGATTCTTATTCTTCCGGTGAACTCTAGTTATCCAAAGATCGGTCCGGTACTTCAAATGCAGCTGGAATATACCTTTTGAAAACGCATTCAAAACGTTCAAAAAAGGCAAACTGATAGAGTTTGAAATATTAAACTGATAAAACTTGAAATGCTAAACTGATAAAACCTGAAATACTGAAATTATAAAACTTAGAATACTGAACTGATAAAGCTTGAAATGCTAAACTGATGAAGCTTGAAATACTAAAGTGATAAAGCCTGAAATACTAAAATGATAAAGCTTGAAATACTAAACTAATAAAGCTTGAATAACTAAATTAATAAAGCTTGAAATACTAAATTAAAAAAGCTTGAATTACTAAATTGATAAAGCTTGAAATACTAAACTGATAAAGCTTGAAATACTAAACTGATAAAGCTTGAAATACTAAACTGATAAAGTTTGAAATGCTAAAGTGATAAAGCTTGAAATACTAAACTTATAAATTTTGAAATACTAAACTGAAAAAGCTTGAAATACTAAACCGGTAAAGCTTGAAAATACTAAACCGGTAAAGCTTGAAATACTAAACTGATAAAGCTTGAAATACTAAACTGATAAAGCTTGAAATACTAAACTGATAAAGCTTGAAACACTAAACTGATAAAACTTAAAATAATAATCTGATTAAGCTTAAAACTCTGTATAAGGGTTTAAAACATGTTGACGATCTGACAAGATGGAGTTTTGCAACCTCAGGGTGAAATATAGCATGACTTTTCAACATTGTATTCTCGTATAATAGTATATTATCAATCAATCAATCTGGCAACCCTATCCCTCCAACCCTATCCCTCCAACCCTTTCCCTCCAACCCTATCCTTCCAACCCTTTCCCTCCCGCCCTTTCCCTCCATCCCCATCCCTCCAACCCTATCCCTCCATCCCTATCCCTCCAACTCTATTCCTTCCAACCCTATCCTTCCAATCCAATCCCTCCATCCCTATCCCTCCACCCTATCCCTCCATCCCTTTCCCTCCATCACTATACCTCCAACTCTATTCCTCCAACCCTATCCTTCCAATCCAATCCCTCCATCCCTATCCCTCCATCCCTATCCCTCCATTACTATACCTCCAACTCTATCCATCCAGTCCTATCCCTCCAACCCTATCCCTCCAACCCTTTCCCTATCTGTGTATATCGCACATTGTAGTTGTACATCTGTATTTATTGTTGTTGTAGTTGTATATCTGGATGTATTGTTGTTGTAGTTGTATTTCTGTATATATTGTTGTGTAGTTGTATTTCTGTATATATTGTTGTTGTAGTTGTATATCTGGATATATTGTTGTTGTAGTTGTACATATGTATATATTGTTTTGTAGTTGTATATCTGGATATATTGTTGTAGTTTTATATCTGGATATATTGTTGTTGTAGTTGTATATATGTATATATTGTTTTGTAGTTGTATATCTGGATATATTGTTGTAGTTGTATATATGTATGTATTGTTGTGTAGTTGTATATCTGTATATATTGTTGTGTAGTTGTATATCTGTATATATTGTTGTGTAGTTGTTGAGAAGTTGCCTAGAGCCAACAAGGAGCTCTGCAGAGTTATTGTAAATCATCTTCATAAGGTAGAAATAAAATCATTAAATAAAATTTTTTTTTATCAAAAAAAGTTAACATGTTTGCATTTTTTTGAAAATACTCTTTTGCTCTTTTTAACTGTTTCTGCAACTTGGGGGGAAGGCAAAAAGGATTAACCCTTCTCAAGTTAATATTAGTTAATATTACACACCCTCCCCTATCAAGGTAACATCACTTTGCCCTCCTCAAGATACCCCCCTTTAATGATGACACCCCCGCCTCTTAAGATGAAACTCCCCTTCAATACGACATTCCTCTCAAGATGACAACCCTCCCTCAATTGGACGCTCCTCCCTCAAGATGACACTCCCCCTCAAGATGACTCTCTCAAATTTTCTTGTTTTACTAAGTACAACCGTATGCAGTCAAAACATAAACAAACAAAATGTGACTATAGCAGACGAAACTCTTACAGATTACAGCTTTCTCGGTTGTTATCACTCTACTAAATCAAAGAATTATTTAAAAAGACGATATCGAATTCGTCACTGAATTCCCATGTTTATTGGGACACCCTGTATAATCAATAAAATTGAGATCATTCCGTTCATCTAAAAGTTTTCAGCTCTAATCGATTCTAAAATGTTTAAAGTTAACATAAACTTTTATATGCTTTAATTGTTTAAGTCAAAAAAGTCAAAATATGTTTTAAAGTCAAGTTTTGATTATGTAAAGCGGCGTGCAGATATACTGAAGTGTACTGCGTACACTGTACAGTGTTCACTGTACAAGGGTGATTAACGGTACATAGTAAAGTAACATGTAAAGGTGGCAGTACATTAAATATTAGCATTGTTTAAGAGCTTAGTCTGCATTTCCGCATCAGCACTTTTCCTCAGGGTTCATAGAGTTCATCGAGTACAAAACAACATTTTTAATATATTTACTGGTTTTGATATTTTATTTTATTATCTGCGATAATTTTTAAAATTTTCGTATAAAAATTACAGAAAATAATTAATAATTTGCTTATGCTTACCGGACCCTTTATTTTCATTAACAGTGTTATGCATCCATAAATAAAAAGAATTTATGTATTATATATATATATATATATATATCTGATTAAAATTAAACTGAGAATAATCATGAAATCCACAAAATTCACCTGAAAGGAATTGAGTCTCAGCCACGAACTCCGTTTTCTCTGATCTCTATATCTTTGTAAACCAATGTCGTAGACTCTAGATATTTCAACCTATGAATTCTCTTACATCAATCAAATATCAAAGGTTTCCACCATTAGGTTTTCAAGATAAATGGATTAGAAAATTTGACTCAAATCTTTTCAATGGTTCTTGTACTCCTTAGAAATATCTTTTAGTGCTAAGAAAAAGTTGTTTACTTCGGAAAGTTTCAAATAAGTGACCATTCCCTTTAAAGGGATTTTCATTCTAATTCAGTGTTTTTCTTGTTCTTGAATATTCCAACCTCTGGCTGTAGATTTTTACAACAAAGGCAAGCATGAAAATGGCCAAGGTTTATTTTCAGATTTGGTTCTCGAGGACATTTAAATGACAACATAAATCCTTTATCTGTTTCAGGTTGTTGAGATCTTGATAGAAAACGCAAATATCATTTTCCCTGTAACGAACTCCCTGCACTCTCCAAGCCCGGAGCTTGACCTCCGATCCATCGGAGGCATTACTCCAGGTACTCCAGGAACTCCGGCCTCCGAAACAAGCGGATCCTCGCCTCGCTTCCAGGGACACAGATCAGGATCATCCAGCGTCCTCGGGGCCTCGTCTAGAAGTTTATCCTCGAAACCAGACTCTACCCAGAACAGTCCAGCCTTGAATACCAAGTTTGGAGTCCAGGGTCCAGGGAGCAGTACTCTTCCAAGGGTCGGAGTAGACAACCTGGAGAAACGATCCGAGGAGAGGGATTCTACAGATCCTGTTACTCCGGGTACACCCTCAAATAGATGCAAACGAACACATTCATTTAGGAAAATGATCAATCTTAACAAATTCTTATTTAGATTTATTCAAATTACAAAAGAAAAGATTAGGCTCATGTTGTTAGGAACATAGGTCCCGTTTAACTATGGTAAAGACGACTTAAATCTCTAAAGATATGACGATCCAAAAGTTAAATTAGGTTTTTTACCTTAAATATAATTTTTCAATAGTTTATTTAATCATTTTGAAAAGAAAGAATCAAGTTAAAAGTTATAAGGTTTGGACTTCCTTTCAGGCTTTTCGACAGCGGTACTAACGACTTGGCATGGAACTGCAGGTTTACCCATAAAGGATGAGACTATGAAGACGACCTGAAATTCTGTATATGTGATGATTCAAACGTTAAATCAATTCTTTTACCTTGAAAGAATTTTTTTTGGTTTATTAATGATTTCACAACCAAAAACAAATTTACAGTTGCGAGGAATCATGGATATAAGGAAACAGACATTATAAATTACGTACAGTCGTCTCTTAAATCTCATCCTTAGTGGGTAACCCTGTATTTAGTTGGACTATTATGTTGAAAATCGACATTCCCTTAAATGCACTGAACACTGATTGAGAACAATCACTCACTCGCCTTTTTCTTTCTAATCCATTTATCTTTGACTCTATATTATCTAACAGAATTCGTGCCTTGAAATATTATAAGGTTAAACAGATAAGGGTTGGAAAACTAAAGCATGAGAGAAAGATATCACTTCCGTTAAAATCGCGGTTTATTGACTGATTATTTACATAGTTCATTTAGTGAACTCTCCGTGAGTTCTCTACCTGAGTTACCCGGCTTCCAGACTGCACGGCACGCTAGCCTAACTGCAGAAAGGCTGGATGGTGTAGTGGAGGGGGAGGAGGATAATCTAGGATCTGACCGACCCAGGTCTAAATCCTATCAGCACGGGATCAAGGTCGGATCAGCTGGTCAGGCTCCCCTGTCTCCTGTATCAAGAAGTCAGGCTGATTTATCAGCCTCATTACAGATGCTGGACTTTCTATCAGCTGATCTTCCAACCTCGTCCTCACCACTCAGAAGATCTAGTACATTAGCTCCCTCCAGGTAAACAGTAGCACCCTCCAAGTAAACATTAGCTCCCTCTAGGTAAAAATTAGCTCCCTCCAGGTAAACATTATCGCCCTCTAGGTAAAAATTAGCTCCCTCCAGGTAAACATTAGCGCCCTCTAGGTAAAAATTAGCTCCCTCTAGGTAAAAATTAGCTCCCTCCAGGTAAACATTAGCGCCCGTAGGTCTTTTTTTTGCAATAAACGTCAAAGTCAGTGGTCAGTGGTTAGAGTTTGAGCTATACAGGGAGTGTTCGCGAAAAATTAAAGCGGGTATAGACTTACGTCGAAAAGAATTCGATGGTGATCGCTACTAATCTTACTTCTATCTGTTGCGTCTATAAGGAGAAAATGGTTAAACACGACTCATACCGAAGAGCGTAGCGTCCACACAAATTCAGAAAGTTGCAATAATCGACTTAGATTGTAAATAGTTCAATTTTATTCCAAACAAATCATTTAGATAATACAACCTATAATCATCGCAGTTCTTACAACGAATTCATATATATGCAGGTTGATAATTCATAATATTATCATATTATAATATCATTTTACTTTAAAAGACGATTATTTGGCCCCTAGGCGTATCTTCTCTCGACATTACAAGGGTTCAGTGTGCGAGAGACACCTGGCGGCCAAAAATCGTCGTTTAAAGTACATCGTATATTAAAAGAATTAAAAATATTATGAAATATCAACTACATACGAATGCGTCGAAGAAAATTCGATGAGCGTAGGTTGCTATATCTGAAAGACTTGTTTGGAATTAAATTCAATTATTTACGATCTGAGTCGATTATTACAACTTTCTGAATTTGTATGGACGCTACGGTCTTCGGTATGAATCGTGTTTAACCCTTTTCTAATTATAGTCCAATTATAGACGCAACAGATAGAAGTAAGATTAGTAGCGATCACCCTCGAATTCGATTCGACGTTAGCCTATACCCCCTTTCATTTTTCGCAAACACTCCCTTTAAGTAATTTTGATTTAAATAACAATAGAAATGATTTTTTCATGATTTCTACTTTTTCATTTTTAATTTTTTGTTATTTCAGAATTCGTCGGACCCCAAACCGAGAAATAACCAAGAAGCCTCCATTACCCAAACTTATATCTGTTACTTCTCCTTCTTCTTCACATCCAATCTTTCCCAGTTTGGGACCCCTTTATGTAGAGGAGAAGTCAGCTGATCGTCATTCAGACCCTTCTGTTCGTCCTTCCGACCCTGCTGTTCGTCCATCAAACACGCTTGTTCGTCCTTCAGATCCGCCTATTCGTCCTATTGACCTCCCGGGCAAACTGACCCATTGTACTAGCTTGGGTCTTACCAGGTATGCACTATAAAGTGCACTTTATCATTCATTCTTCGTTCATGCTCAATTTAATCATAGTAGTACTAAAAAGTGATCTTTGTGATAAAATGCTTAATTAGCTCTTAATTATTGTACTGTACCATCGAGTTTAAAAGATACCCGCAATTTCTTTTAAACCACCACTTGGATATTCCTAGAGAAAAATCAAAAGCTTATACTGCAAAGCAAACCGAAATAATTACGCAATAAAAAGTAATTTTTTTCATTAAAAAAATGTTGAACTTCTTTCTAGGCGAGGATCAGAGACCAGTTTACAGATCCTTGAATACAAATCAAATATAGAAAATCAGGTAACAACATCAAGTTTGACATGTTTTACTAAATCAAATTTTTGTGTTGTGCATCTTGGAATCAAGCATAGATCTTCATCTTATGCAGGCAGACTTAAAGGGGCTGTACAGGAAAACTGAAAGGGGGTATAAGCTGAAATTAAACATTTTAGGTGTTGATCGAGACACATAAGAGTTCGATCTGATGTTCCTGTCTTAAGAAATTAATATAAAACTATGCCAAATTTATACGAAAATTCATATATATACAATTTTGCATAGAAATCGTATGTTTAAACAGATCAAATTCAGCAATACGCAACAAATCTGAAAACGACGATATCCCAGAAGAGCCTGAACAACTTAGATTTGCTCCTATTATTATTTGAATTTAATAACTTTTCCTTTTTAATAGATATAATTGATAATATAATTAACCGTGACCAGAACTCCCACCAATGGCAGGGCACTATCCTTGTCACATGTCTCAGTCTGTATCTACTCTTATGGGTCTCGATCAACTCATAAAATGCTTAGGTTTCAGCCTATATGCCCCCTTTCATTTTTTCTTTACAGTCCCTTTAAGGATAAATTCAATTCCTCTTCGATATTCCATGGTGTTCATACCTTTGCAGGAATAAACTATGGGATTTATTCTCAAATTTTAAAGTGCCCGCATTGGATATCGAGATTAAGCTCTCAAGATTATTAAAAGTTCAGAACAAGTTTGGACTCTTCTAGAGAATAAATCTTTCAACTCTATACCCTTAAACCATCTTTTTGCTTCATGCGGCCCATACTGAGCACCCCCCACAGTCCAACATGAAAATTTGCAAATAATATCCCATAAATTCGCACACACACACACAATCAGACATACCTTCCCGCAAACAGGGCACCTACCCCCAACGGTCAGTCTACACTCTACACTGTTCAAATCAATACAAATCAAAATGCAATGAAAATTATTTTAAACTAAAGCTGTTTATTAAATTCCCGGCTTTAAATTGATATTCAAATGAATTTATTTATATTGTAAACTCGAAAAGAAAAAGAAGAATATAAGAAGTTACAAGGGGGGGTTCAAGAAGCCTAATTTGGATTTCTTTTATGAATGGAAACCAATTTGAGGACGGACTTGTCTATTTCTTTAAAGGGTGCTTAAACAAAATTTTTGTCTAAAAATGAGGGAAATATATTTCAATATATTTCGTAAATTGTAAGAATGTTGGAAATATAGTTTAATATATTTATAAAGATATAAAAATGATTAAAGTATATTTTAATATATTTAGCAAGATATAAAAATGCTGGAAATGTATTTCAATATATTTAGTAAGATATAAAAATGTTGGAAAAATAGTTCAATATATTTAGTAAGATATAAAAATGTTGGAAAAATAGTTCAATATATTTATCAAGATATAAAAATACTAAAATATAGATAATTATATGTAGTAAGATATAAAAATGTTGGAAAAATAGTTCAATATATTTAGTAAGATATAAAAATGTTGGAAAAATAGTTCAATATATTTAGCAAGATATAAAAATGCTGGAAATATAGAAAATTATATGTAGTAAGATATAAAAATGCTGGAAATATAGAAAATTATATGTAGTAAGGTATAAAAATGGGGAGAAATGGTTCAATATATTAAGCAAGATGCTTCCCTTATCTTCCCTTTCCTATTCTCTTCTTTTCTAACCGTATCTTTTGAATTCCCATTTCCCTTCTATCCCCACCCCATTCATATTCCCCATTTCCTCTCCTATCCCCATCCCATTCATATTCCCCATTTCCTCTTCTATCCCCATCCCATTCATATTCCCCATTTCCTCTCCTATCCCCACCCCATTTATATTCCCCATTTCCTCTTCTATCCCCATCCCATTCATATTCCCCATTTCCTCTCCTATCCCCTTTAATTTTCCCCTTTCCTTTTGTATCCCCCATTTCAAATTTCCCTTTCCTCTCCTATTCACCCCCCCCTCAAATCCCGCCTTCTAGTTGCATGGATAGATAAATATAAGGAAACAGACACTATAAATTCTGTACAGTCGTCTCTGAAGTATCATCCTTTGTGGGTAACCCTGTATTTGCCTAAAACCAGAACTCTATATTTTGTAACTAAATCGTTATTTTCTATTTTGTTTTCAGCGACGAAACAATTCTGCGGATTCAGGAGTGATGGTGTCCCCTCACACATCTGGAGGAAGAGGAGGAGGTCTTCAACAAAACTTCTCTCGTCAATTTCCCCCAGGGACTGATAATATCAGATATCTTTCTCCGAACGGAGAAAACTTCCGCCATCTTCCATCCGAACCTGATCAAAACCAGAGCACTTCTCCCGAAGCTGAGCCAGGTTTTCCTGGAGTTGACCCAACCCGCCACACTTCCCCTGGAGTTGACCCAACCCGCCACACTTCTCCTGCGGTTGATTCAACCCGCCACACTGCCCCTGGAGTAGACGCAACCCGTCACACTTCTTCTGGAGTCGACCCAACCCGCCACACTTACCCTGGAGTAGACCCAACCCGTCACACTTCTTCTGGAGTCGATCCAACCCGCTACACTTCCCCTGGAGTTGACTCAACCCGTCACACTTCTGCTGGAGTAGACCCAACCCGCCACACTTCCCCTGGAGTAGACCCAACCCGTCACACTTCTGCTGGAGTAGACCCGACCCGCCACACTTCCCCTGGAGTTGACTCAACCCGTCAGCCATCTCCCGGCCAGGCTCGGGGTGGAACAGTATCTCCGATGTCCCGGACTCCGTCAGATTCTCGTGGTGCAGGGTGGGGGCGGGGATCAAGAGTATCTCCAGCAGATGATTTATCAAACAATACCAGTCTCAGTCTCAGGTTAAGCTATAATACAAGGTTTGCTCCAGTAAATATTGGAACTATGGCGTCTTCTATTTTTGAAAATGAAAAAATGACACAATTTTGCATAGAAAATAAAGTTTTACGACTCCTTAACTTTTTTTCAAGATATTGTTCGAATATTAATATTTGGACAATATAACACTTCTCTTTAAATCTACAGGGTGAGAAAAAAATTGGGATTAGTGCGTTGTACAAAACTACACCGTAAAAGAATTTTTTTCTGACAAAGTATTTTTTTCTGAAAAACTATTTTTCTTCTGAAATTGACTGTTTTCAATTCTATTTAGTGATGATTTTTAAGCACCATTATTTGCAGATTATTGTAATAACTCTTCTATTCTACAGGGTTCATATATTAGGTTAAACAAATATTGATTTTTAAAAAGATCCTCGAAATTGTTTTTTTTTGTAAAGAAACTTTCTCTTTTAAAACAATTAGAAATCATTTCTTTATTCAGTTGACTTCACATTTCACATTTGAATTCAGTTGATAATTTAAACATAGTATATTATAAATTTGAAAATATTTAGTGATTGTTCTGAGGAGAGTACATCTCGTTACGAAAATCTATCAACTAATGAAGAACAAGGGAGGAGGAGGGAAGAAAAAGAATGGACAGTAAACCCCAGGTTTGCTAAAACTTTATAAAATCGGAATTAGAAATAAGGAAATTGACTATGCTGTTAACTGTTAATCAAAAGATTGATTTTAAATCAAGAAACTTCAGATCAAATTTAATTAGTAATTTTTTGTATTTATAGTTCATTGCAAGGTTATAATGCAAGGAAAGTTATTTCCTTTCGATCCTTACGCATTTCTGTTCTTTATTTACGTAAATAATTTCTTTGCATGTTTTTAGAAATGGTCACACTAATAACAATAGATGGGAGAAATCAATGAATACAACTCATACAACACAAGATAATCAATGTATGGAGGACCGGCCAGCAAATGACCGGCTGCAGCAAGGTCAACGACATGACCGACCCGTATACAACCGGTCATATCGAGACAGTGGGCCTTATGAGAATGTTAACAGAGAGGTGAAAAAAAAAAATTTAAATAAATGTTCAGAAATACATTTATTTATAAAACTGCCATTTGTTGTTATATGAAACTTTAAGTTTGCATTGTGCTCGGGAAACTGTAGTGTTTGCCTCTATGCAAAGATGCAATGCAAGATTCAAAATGGTAACCTTAAAATCTTTTTCTGTTCAAATGTGAATTAGATATCAATGTTTATAAATTCAAAAAATTATTTTCAACTGTGGTTTCTCTACAAAAATGAATTGCTCATTTCTAGTGCAGGAAAAATTGCAGGAATTATCAGAACTAAACACTTTTCAACCTTGAAAACGATAAAATCATCCACATTATTGATAAAGGTTTCAATGGGTATCGTTGTGAATCAGGCATTGCAGGAGACTATGGGGGTTCAGACCCCCTTGGATTAGTCAAATCTATGATTTCTAGGGAGGGGGGGGGGGGGGGTCAGGTCTGAATGGGTATAAGCCCCCCAAATTTCTGTATACGCCATGTAAATGCTCTCAAAATTAAATAAAAAATTAAATGTGAGCTTAACAATCGGTTAAAAATATGTTTTCTAGGTTAATGACATTGAAAGAGATATAAATGAGCTGGAAAATCTTGTCCGACCCAACCAATCACGGACCTTGAACAGGTCACGTGACAAATGTTCTGACCAATCACAGTGCACAGATTTGTCCGAGGATACGACCTCTGATTGGATATCAGATCCTCCTGATCTACTCTGTGGTTCAGGTACAGGTAGGAATCAAATATACCTAGCGCCCCATTATAATTTTTTTTCTAAAACCTTTTTTTCTCTTCTTCGAAGAGTATTAGAAAAAACAACAAAAAGTTTCGGTGATTTTTCTGAATTGTGAAAAATTTACTAGAAACACGGGATTTGTTGTTTTACTTAAGCAGGCAACAGGCGGCCATAGGGAAGTGCATCGTTTTTAGGTCAATTTTTTAACATTCAAGGTGTTTTGGCTTTTCATGGCTTTAAAAGATGTTCTATGAGTTTGTTTTTATTACAGTAAGTCAAATTTGTTCCTCTATTTAAAGATAGTGACCAAAACGATATTTCAAAACGTTTTGGTTGATATCTCTGGCAATAGTAAAATTTCCAAAGGGTTTTTTTAAAACTTATCGAGCGTCATTCGATTTTGAACTAGATTTCACATCTCAGATACTTGTAAAACCTTGAATGATTAAAAAGTATTAAAAACCGTATCCATCAACCATCAACCATCAACCATTATTAGTAAAAAATATCTTACAACAAAACGTAAATCACTCGTAAATTAAAATTTCTAAAAATTTCTACAATTTTTTTGATTAGGTTTGCATACGTTAAAAAACCTGCTAAACTCAAGTCAGGCTTCTAACGTGTAAAGATGTGATCATCAATCATCATGTAACTTGACCTCCTCTAGATGTAGTTTAGTCTATGTACATTGTACAATTCTGTACAAAGACTAATGAAATATCATACAAAAAAGCCTGAAATTTCAGAAGAATATCGTTTAACATATATTTGTGTAGCATTCAAACATAAAAATAGAATATAAAAGTATGTATTGTTTTTATTTCCAATCATAGTCGTACTGCACAGAAACGTGCTTGTAAAGAAAGCTGTTTATTAAATTCCCGGCTTTAAATTGATATTCAAAGAATTATATTTATCAGATTGCTGGTCAATTATAATTATTCTGGAGGATTTGCCCTTGAAAAAATTTGTTAATTTCCTGAAATCTTTTATGGGGTAATGTTAACCTAAGTATTCCACAAGCTGAGACTTTTCATTTTATGAGATTAGCTAATTTTACTTATATGCATCAGATGACAACAATTTACTGATCTCTCATTGGTCGAATTTAGATATCTCTGAACTTTGACCAATAAGAGTTGATTAACTGCGTTTAACTACAGGGTGTCCCAAAAACATGGGAATTAAGTGACGAATTGGATATCGTCTTTGTTATGAATTAGCATTCTAATACCTAATTTCAAAAGCCATAATATTATTATGTCTGCTAGAGTTTATTTTATGAAAAGGGTAAAAGACTGTAAAGATGTGTCTATAATGTCTCCGCAAGATGAACAGTGAAGACGGACAAGTTTACTCTGTTTGTATACTGCAATTTTCTTGTTTTACTAAGTACAACCGTATGCAGTCAAAACATAAACAAACAAAATGTGACTATAGCAGACGAAACTCTTACAGATTACAGCTTTCTCGGTTGTTATCACTCTACTAAATCAAAGAATTATTTAAAAAGACGATATCGAATTCGTCACTGAATTCCCATGTTTATTGGGACACCCTGTATAATCAATAAAATTGAGATCATTCCGTTCATCTAAAAGTTTTCAGCTCTAATCGATTCTAAAATGTTTAAAGTTAACATAAACTTTTATATGCTTTAATTGTTTAAGTCAAAAAAGTCAAAATATGTTTTAAAGTCAAGTTTTGATTATGTAAAGCGGCGTGCAGATATACTGAAGTGTACTGCGTACACTGTACAGTGTTCACTGTACAAGGGTGATTAACGGTACATAGTAAAGTAACATGTAAAGGTGGCAGTACATTAAATATTAGCATTGTTTAAGAGCTTAGTCTGCATTTCCGCATCAGCACTTTTCCTCAGGGTTCATAGAGTTCATCGAGTACAAAACAACATTTTTAATATATTTACTGGTTTTGATATTTTATTTTATTATCTGCGATAATTTTTAAAATTTTCGTATAAAAATTACAGAAAATAATTAATAATTTGCTTATGCTTACCGGACCCTTTATTTTCATTAACAGTGTTATGCATCCATAAATAAAAAGAATTTATGTATTATATATATATATATAGTTATATCTGTGATATGTGTAAAGAGCTATTATTATCATTATTATTATATGCATTGTAAATGAATATCTTAATCAGAGTTGAATAAACATTTTTATTAAAGATTTTATTATTGATTTAGATATATGTTTTCCTTCTTTTTTACAGTATACTGATTTGGGAACTCAGCTTTCTCTGAAAACTATAAAAGTAAGTCAACCTAGTACTCAACTTAAAACTTTAACCCAAACTAAGAAAATTCCCGTGGTTCTTATACCTGAGTTTCTTAATTAAATGTTGAGACTAATATATGTAAAAGGGGTGAGTTTGTTATGATAGGACGTACAAAATAACAAACAAACAAACAAACAAAGACAATATTAAAATGTAACAAAAGGCCAAGAACTTTTTTTGTGCAAACTCAAGTTTCAAAACACTGAAAAATTTCAATTTAGGCCCGGCAACAAGTTAAGGTAAGAAACAATCAATCTTTCTTTTTTAAAATTCTGCTTCAAAGCACCTAATTTTTATGAAAAAAAGCTTAAAACTCTTCGTAAAACTTTTCAATATTTTAACCAGAATGCTTTTAAACTCCTGCATTCTCTGCAAATTCATGGCAATGCTAAATGCAATGAAAGCAGGTTTCAGTTTATAAAATAAATGAAAGGATCAAATGATAAGTAAGACCCCTAAGACTAGCAAAGGAAAACGACATTTGATCAATTGTATGTTAATTTGATGTTGTTATAAAGCAAAAAGATTTATCAATTACCTATTTGAAATATAACGATCGTCGTTGTTATACAAAGTTCGATAATCCATGGGTCACTGTATATGTAGTTTCAGTTCCTTAAAAAAATACGTTAATTTATGTACGTCTATGTGTTAACTGTGTATTATAAAGGTTCACAATTATTTCGAGTTCTTAAACAAATCAACTTCTTAAGTAATTCGACCACTTTCCCTTTAACCCACTTCACCCCCCCACCCTTCTCCACGCCCTCCCCCCCCCCCCCCCCCACACACACACATACTATGTGCTGCATAATTGAAATTACTAAATCGTAAGATACTAATCAGCTCTGATTAAACTTGAAGAAATATGTCAAAATATAACGAGAAATTTAGAGCAATTTATTTAACCAGTGTGTAAACAATTTACAAACACACACGTAGAATACGAGCGAGGGAAGGCACACCACACGTCAAGGTTTTAATGCAAGGAAAGTTATTTCAGAGGTGTACGCATCTTTTGTACTGCAGTGTACTTCTCTGGGCGGTAACGTAAACACAAGACGGATGTCAAAGCCTGTCATGGGATCCATCTTTCACATAAAAAAACAAGGAAATATTCTGGACATTATGTGAATTATCAAAATTATCAAAATTTAATGCTTTTATCATCCTCGGATACTGAACGAACACTAATGCATCTATTCTTGTTTACAAATTCCGCCCAGAGAGAACTGGTTTCAGTATGTGCGCAAAGTATACGCAACTGCAATTAACTTTCCTTGCATCATAACCTTGCACCACACCATTACGATTTTTTTATAGTTTGTATTGAGTCCTTTTTTTTGCCTTTTTATTGCTTAAACTTGTTTAAAGATTGTACGGAATTTGTTCAATCCGTTTTCTTGCATTCAGGGTTCCTTGTAGGCCAAAACTGGCTTATTTCTGTGCTTGATCATTTAACACACCATCAAAATACTCAATTGAATGCAGAAACAAGAAAATTAAGCTTAAAATCGTCATGTTTGTCAGTTTTGGGTCGTCTTTGCATTCTCATCTTTTGCGGGTACCCCTGTATGTTTTATCCCCCCGTCCCCCTCCCCGCTGGAGAAAGCATCAGCTGTTATAGTGTAGGTCAGCTTTAACTCTAGAATCAACATTTAGATACAATTCAGAAATATTAATAGTAAATCAAATAGAAAACATGTAATTGATCATATCAATTGATCAAGTGAACGTTAAGGATAAATAATTGATCTCCAATGAGATATCTCACATCATTAATGTGAAAAGAAAAAATAGAGGTTAGAATGGAAAATCTACTTCTAGCAATTGATAAAACATTTACAACAAATCAAATTGAGTTGAACGAATCTCTAAATTATTTTGAAACGGTTTCTTTGAATAATTTTCCATGGTTAGTTTCTACCCTAGCGGATATAATCTGTGTTCAGGTAAACAGATAGAAATAAGGATGGTTTTTAAACATTCAAGGATTTTTTTATTTCAAGAGCACAACAAGAATTTGATATGTCTATCCTAATTCAAAATTATAAGTCTACTTTTATGACATTTGCAAATATTTTACCCTGACCAAAGATCAACCAAAATGATTTCTAAAATAGTTTCGGTAAGTATCATATTAGTTAAATTAAACAGCGGATAGGCCAATTAATTAACCATTCATTATCAACTAACTTAACAGAGCTTTGCCCAGTACTTTCTTTAATTAACGGAACTTTGAACGGCACTTTCTTTAATTAACGAAACTTTGAACGGTACTTTCTTTAATTAATGAAACTTTGCTGCAGCACTTTTTTTAATTATAAAAACTTTTCTGTAGCAATTCCTTTAATTAATAAAACTTTGCCCAGCACTTCCTTTAATTAATAAAACTTTGCTGCAGCACTTCCTTTAATTAATAAAACTTTGCTCAGCACTTCCTTTAATAAATAAAACTTTGCCCAGCACTTCCTTTAATTAATAAAACTTTGCGAAGCACTTTCTTTAATTAATAAAACTTTGCTCAGCACTTCCTTTAACTAATAAACCATTGCTCAGCACTTCCTTTAATTAATAAAACTTTGCTCAGCACTTCTTTTAATAAATAAAACTTTGCTCAGCACTTTCTTTAATTAATGAAACTTTGCTCAGCACTTCCTTTTATCAATAAAACTTTGCTCAGCACTTTCTTTAATTAATGAAACTTAGCTCAGCACTTCCTTAAATTAATGAAACTTTGCCCAGTACTTTCTTTAATTAATAAAACTTTGCCTAGCGCTTTCTTTAATTAATAAAACTTTGCTGCAGCACTTTCTTTAATTAACAAAACTTTGCTCAGCACTTTCTTTAATCAATGAATCTTTGCCCAAGCACTTCCTTTCAATAACAAAAATTTTCTGCGGCCCTTTCCTTGATTAATGAATTTTGCTGCAGCACTTCCTTTAATAAATGAAACTTTGCTGTAGCAATTTCTTTAATTAATGAAACTTTGTTGCAGCACTTTCTTTAATTAATGAACTTTGTTGCAGCACTTCCTTTAATTAATGTAACTTTGCCCAAGCACTTCCTTTAATTAATGAAACTTTGCCCAAGCACTTCCTTTAATTAATGAAACTTTGCTGTAGCACTTTCTTTAATTAATGAAACTTTGCTGTAGCACTTCCTTTAATTAATAAAACTATGTTCAGCACTTCCTTTAATTAATAAAACTTTGCTCAGCACTTCCTTTATTAATAAAACTTTGTTCAGCCTTTCTTTTTATTAATAAAACTTTGCTGTAGCACTTCCTTTAATTAATAAAACTTTGCTTCAGCACTTCCTTTAATTAAAAAAACTTTGCTCAGCACTTTCTTTAATAAATAAAACTTTGCCCCAAGCACTTCCTTTAATTAATGAAACTTTGCCCAAGCACTTTCTTTAATTAATAAAACTTTGCTGCAGCACTTCCTTTAACTAATGAAACTTTGCTGCAGCACTTCCTTTAATTAATGAAACTTTGCCCAGCACTTCCTTTAATTAATGAAACTTTGCTGCAGCACTTTCTTTAATTAATGAAACTTTGCTGCAGCACTTTCTTTAATTAACGAAACTTTCCCCAGTCCCACTTCCATCTAATGAAAGATGTTTTATTCAAATCTTAAAAATTAACAATATCTCCAATAATCATTTTTAGCTTACAATATTTCTGTATTTTACCCATCAGAAAAAGTTTGTTGCCCATTCTAACTATCAGGAGCGTATAACGAAATTTGTCCATGAAGGTTTTTTTATTGATTGATCCCTGATCGGGGGGGGGGGATCGCCATTAGCCCCCCCCCCCCCCTGTATACGGTACTTCTAATTATCTGTTTACTGATGACTGATTAGGATACACTACCTCTACATGTTCAACAGCAAGCAGCTCTTCAGTTCAAAAACCTTGTTAAACTCAATCCACAATCCTGGTTTGCTACCAGCTTACACATTAGAGATAGGATTAAACATCAGTTACTCGCAATCTTCGAAGAAGGCGTCAATAGTTTCGGAGGACAGTCTCAGTGTGTTCATGCCTTAGGAGATCTAGAGCTAGCTAAATCCTCCTGGGCCCAGCTTATACCAACCTTGGTGAAAACAGCGCTAACTCCTGGTCCTAGTAAAAGCAAGGTTCGAGCTCTGGAAAGTATTGGATATATCTGTGAGACTGTATCTCCAGACCAGATACAGGAACACGTTAATGACATGCTGACCGGTCTTGTCAGCTGTGTCTGCTGTAGGGAAAGTGCGGAGACTTCCGTGACAGCTTTGACCGCACTTTACAACGCGCTGGAATTCTGCGCGCAAAACTTTGCTCGCATAGCAGAACGAAACTATCTTATGCAGGTTAGACATGGTTTGTTATTTGATAACTTTCCCTTTTTCACAAAAAAAAGATCGATCTAAAGAAATTAGTTTTTGTTATAGGTAACAGCTTAGTTTCAAATCATGCTTAGAATAATGTTCTTAGATTTGGCTTTCCAAATGAAGATAAATTACTTTGAATCTCTAATTGCAGATCAAAATTATACGAAACTTAACCTTTTTAGAAAGAAAGAAAATAACCAAAGACAGTTTAACCTATTATAAAAAAGTGTTATATCTCCATTCCTTCTTATACGCAAGAAATGCGTAAGTCATTTTTGCTGAGAAAGTTGAAACCGCAAATGAAAATAAAGAGTGTTAAGAAACAAAAAAATGTTTGTCTAATTCATAATTGATCAGACAAAGCTTTTAAGGGAACCGTTGTAGATTGGACATTGTCATGTTTACATAGAAGGGCAGTTCAAATTATGCTTATACAATCTCTTTAAGTAAAATATGACAATCATATAAATCTTTGTTGGAATCTAAAATTAACAACTCTTAGAAATGACTAGAATAGTAAGGACAGAATATAAGGAATAGCTACAAGAATTTTTATCAAAGAATTATCTATAATTTTTGTATGAAGTAGTTGAGTCTCAAATTTTCTAATCGTTGAAATTTCAGGCTTGGATTTATAGTTTGAAATCTTTAAGGTCTACGCCATTGGGTTGCAATGATATAGGCATTAGAAAATAAGATTTATTGGCTCAATTCCTTTTCTAAAGTGAAAACAACGTGTAAAGGTATTTATATTTGGAGCGTGAGTTATTATTTTCAATCCCAGGTTTTGGAATTCCACGGGCAAAGCCGAGGACTTCATTTAGTAAATAATTTAATGTATCAGAATTTACAAGTTTGAATATATTTCAGGTGGTCTGTGAAGCTACCCAACGGAATGAGATTGAAATTGTAGTTTTAAGTTTACAATGTCTCAGCAGAATAGTTTCTCTGTACTATCCACTGCTGGAGGATTATCTTAAACCGGCGATCTGGCCGATTTCAATAAACGCCGTTTCGTCATCCGTTGAGTCCCTAGTTGTCCAGGGACCGACTCTAATGAATTTAAGGTGTCGCTGAACTGCCTACAAATTTAAATCACCAATTGAAATCCTTCTAAAACCTTTAACTTTTTATCAGTGGTTCAAATTTATACCGCAACATGTAATTCAGCGACGAAGCTCAAATTTATTAAATTCGGTCCCAGGGATTAGAGATCTGGAACTGTTTATGTGAATCTGAACTTGAACTGATTGAGGACGGAGATGCAGGTTCAGGATGGATCCAACCTGTTCTCCAGGATATAGTTCAACCTCTAGTCCTAGGTATTAAAGGGACTGTTCACGTGATTTTAAATAATACCCCGAATCTAAAAAGTTGAAAGTCTGCACAGTAAAAAGGAAGAAACTGTTTATTGTGTGTCCTGGAAAAGGAAAAACTGTTTATTTTGTATTCTGGAAAAGAAAGAAACTGTTTATTGTGTGTCCTGGAGAAAAGAAAGAAACTGTTTATTGTGTGTCCTGGAAAAGAAAGAAACTGTTTATTGTGTGTCCTGGAAAAGGAAGAAACTGTTTATTTTGTGTCCTGGAAAAGGAAGAAACTGTTTATTGTGTGTCCTGGAAAAGGAAAGAAACTGTTTATTGTGTGTCCTGGAAAAGGAAGAAACTGTTTATTTTGTGTCCTGGAAAAGGAAGAAACTGTTTATTGTGTGTCCTGGAAAAGGAAAAAACTGTTTATTGTGTGTCCTGGAAAAGGAAGAAACTGTTTATTGTGTGTCCTGGAAAAGAAAGAAATTGTTTATTGTGTGTCCTGGAAAAGGAAGAATCTGTTTTTTGTGTGTCCTGGAAAAGGAAGAAACTGTTTATTTTGTGTCCTGGAAAATTCTGAAAATTACCTTTTTCATGTTTTCTGCAAAATTACATTCCAGCCTTTTCTTAACATTAAATATTTTGATATATATTTTTTTGTGGAAGCTTTGAGATAAAATGATTTGTAAGGCTCGTATATTATTCGTATAATATTTTTTGAGGAATCCTTTGAAATGAAAAAAAAGCCTAATTTCCATGATCTTCTTAACAAATGATCTTTTTAAATATACATATTTTTGGGAACACATTTGAAAGGAAAAAAACGGTTAATTTAAAAGTGCGTTTTTCAAGCATTTTTTATTAATTCATCTCTGACAATTCCTAAAACTTATGAGAAGAGTAACATTTTTCACGTTTCTTCAAATAGAATTTGAGTGAAAGGGATGTTCTCCAAAGAATGAAAATGGAACAGCTGATGATACCTAATCATTTTTTTATCCTTTCCGATGTTCCTGTAAAGATAAAGGATAAAAACTGTTTCCCTTTTTTCTTATATTTTATATATTTGACAGCATACATTTTCTTATTCCCCGATCCTGTGCGTATGATTTATTTCTTTTTTATGATCCATTTGAGATATAAAAAACGTTTTAAAGTCGATGTTCAAAATCATCAATTAGAGAGGGTTCGTTTTGACCCCCCCCCCCCCCAGCAGGAATAGGGTTAATGCTGTTACAAATTGTTTTCTTTTTTAAAAAAAAGTTTAATATATGGATATAACTATCAAATTTGGATTGTGTAACAAAAATATTTATTAAAAAAATAAAGATAATTCATCTTTTTCAGTGATGATCAGAGATTCAGAGACAGGAGATAACTGGAGTATGAGTAAAGCTTCGCAAATTACCCTTCGTTTACTCTCCCAGGAACCGGATTTAAGACGCTGCGAAAGTCGTTGAATTACATAGAGATGGTTCAACCACGTTATTTTTTATGACTGGTTCAACTTGATGTTTTAAATTTTAAACTACGCTGACATTCCATTAGAGTTTTTTTTAAATATTTACTTTGAATCGCTGATTCGGTATTTGAGACAGATAGAACTTTGAACCGGCGGTAGGTAGTTCAATGACCTTTCTCCTATTCATTAAATTCGGTCCCAGGTGTTAGGAAACCATATTCTGCCACATATTCTGCCCTTTATTCATGAAAACCTGACTAGTTCTAATATTCAAGCTCAAGGAGCAGCACTCTCCTGTCTTGCAGCTATACTGGAGGGTCCAGAACAATCAGCTCTTATCCAGGTCATACAGGCCTTTACAGGTCAGGATAGTATCTTGTTTTGCTTTTTAAATAAATGATAAGTAAATAGATAAATTATAAAATTTCAGCAAATCAAAACAGCTGGAAACTATAAAATGGATGGAAATAATTCAAATTTCTATTGTGGTCAAATTTTTGCATTTTTAATCTGCTATGATCGTTCAGAAAAGAACAATAGCTTTATATGTTTGTTTGAATGAGCTATTTAGAAATCGTTCAAGAGCGAATAAGATCGTTCAAACGATTTTAAATTGTTTGTTCTAGTTTTTTTTCGTTCTTTTCCAAAAAAAACGATATTTTTTTCATTTTTCGGAATGATCCAAGTCGTTTTTTCTGAACGCCATTAACGTTCTGGAAAAATTTAGTTTTTTCACAAAACTAATGCATATCTCTAGTTGTGTCCAACGCCTAAAAATAACCCATCAGGAAGAAGATGAGAACCCGACTTAATACGTTATTAAAAGATCTTTAATTCAACAGTTTTGATCTCCGATTCAGATTCATAGAGTTGAAAACTAATTTATACTAATTATGGTTTAGGTTTGCTCAGCAACATACTAAGTAGTGAACATATCAAGGTAAACAACTAAATAGTGAACATATCAAGGTAAACAACTAAATAGTGAACATATCAAGGTAAACAACTAAATAGAAAACATATCAAGGTAAACAACTAAATAGTGAACATATCAAAGTAAACAACTAAATAGTAAACATATCAAGGTAAACAACTAAATAGTGAACATATCAAGGTAAATAACTAAATAGTAAACATATCAAGGTAAACAACTAAATATTGAACATATCAAGGTAAACAACTGAATAGTAAACATATCAAGGTAAACAACTAAATAGTAAACATATCAAGGTAAACAACTAAAGAATTAATCTTGTTTAAATAAACCTGCTGGCATACAATTTGTCCCACTAATTATATATCATAATTAATGTATGTGACACATCGTCACATCACGAATACAGGCTACAGTCTACAGGCTACAGGCTACAGGCTACAGGCTACAGGCTACAGGCTATAGGCTACAGGCTACAGGCTACAGGCTTCAGGCTACAGCCTACAGGCTACAGGCTACAGGCTACAGGCTACAGGCTACAGGCTACAGGCTACAGGCTACAGGCTACAGGCTACAGCCCACAGGCTACAGAGCGACCAAAACAAAAAAATAGTGTTCAGGAAAGTTGACCTAAAATCCTAAAATAAAAATTGAGATATTTTCTAATACTACAATTTGCTTATTTATGCATACGCGAAAAAAAGTTCCTTGACTGACCCACTTTCATTAGGTTCGGGAGACTGGGGCCCAAGCAGTTTCTCAGCTCTGTCTGCTGCATCACCAAGCACTACTGGAGATAGGACAGGTTCAACTTGTTCTTCAAGTACTCATCCTTAATCTCCGGTCCCAAGATGTTGTAGTTATTTATAACTGTTGTTGGGGAATATCAAGCCTAGTGGAGGCCTGCCATCATGAGCTTGATGTCAGGAGTTCTTACCTTCCTTGTCTTGAGACCTTGTTCTGGCTCACAGATCCTGATCTACCTAAACAGGTAGAAAACAGACCCTAATCTATATAAAAAGGTAGAAAACAGACCCTGATCTACTTAAACGGGCAGAAAACAGACCCTGATCTACATAACAGGCAGAAAACAGATCCTGAACAGGTAGAAAACAGACCCTGATTTACCTAAACAGGTAGAAAACAGACTCTGACCTACTTAAACAGGTAGCAAACAGACTCTAATCTATATAAAAAGGTAGAAAACAGACCCCATGATCAACTTAAACAGACAGAAAACAGATCCTGATCTACTTAAACAGGTAGAAAACAGACCCTGATTTACCTAAACAGGTAGAAAACAGACTCTGATCTACCTAAACAGATAGAAAACAGACACTAATCTATCTAAACAAGGAGAAAAGAGACGATGATCTACTTAAACAGGTAGAAAACAGATCTTGATCTACCTAAACAGCTAGAAAACAGACCCTGATCTTCCTAAACAGATAGAAAACATACCCTAATCTACCTAAACAGGTAGAAATACTGATATACAGGGTTACCCACAATGAATTAGACTGTATGACGACTCTTTGTATAACATAAACCTGCCTTAAATATACTTTGCTTGTCTGTTTGTCTGTCCGTTTGTATCCAATAAACGTCAAAACGGCTAAATTCGATTTTTCAAAAATTTTAAAAATCCACGAAATTTATTTTATAAAATCCGCGAAAATTTTTGTTATTGTTTTACATAGACCAAAAAGAAATGGTTCACAATTGAAATAGAAGCCTGGTGACTATAAACCGGTCTTAAATGGACTTTAACGTAATTTTAAGTGAATCTACATACATGCCCGATTAACAACGTCACCCTTTAACCTTTCTGAAAGGAAAACTAATTGAGATGCTTTTAATTGTTTTAAGCTAAAAGATGAAAATTTTCAGTTTTGGTATTACAGCCAGAGTCTAAAACTAAAGAACGAAAAGTTTTGACTTAAATTTTAAGTTCATGGTTAAATGCCACTTCTGACTTAATTTAAACCTGAACTTTAACCGTGAGGTTAAATATTTAACCCTGTGGTTAAATATTTAACTCGCCGAAATCGACGAGTTAAAATTTAAACACAGGGTTAAAATCTTGAAATCCTGCATTTTCCCTATTTGTCTATTATTCAATCATCATTCAGCTGAGAAAGTGGCATTCAACTTTACGGTGTATTTGAAAGTGAAAACCTTGTTAAAGAAAATTCACGTTTTAGATAAATTAATTTATGCATGTAAACCCAAAAAACGGTTGTAACTCAAAATATGTTTTGTTTTCGGTTACATAATCAGCTGATTAGCGATGGTTATGTAATATTCCCCGTAAATCCTTTTCTCTGATTGGTTCAGATTTTCCCGGGAACTTCAAATTTAAAATTGAGAAAGTTTAATATTCAAGTAGCCATTCATTATTTTACAGAACTTTTAACCTCGAACTTAAAATTCGCGCATTCTTTAGTTTTAGACTCTGTTTATGCAAAATTGATTCTTCTGTCAAGATGATAAATAGAAATCCTCCTCATTGTTTCTCAAACAAGGATTTAAAGGGTGCTGCTGTAGATTAGGTATATACTGCACTCTGTAAATGAAGGAACACTTGAATTTATATAAAAAGTCTCTTCAAGGTTGAATTTGGTTTTTAGACGATACAAGCAAAAGTGCTCTTTTTCAACTATTAAACCATATTCTTGTATTGCAGGGCAATGTTCTCCAGGTTGGATATGAAACACTGACTGTAGTTCTCAGGTTCTGTCCTGCCGCCTCTAGCTCTAGCCCTGGCCTGGAGCAAGCTCTACAAATCATTCTCTCAAGAATAATGAAAGGAGACAACGCAGGAATGGCTTCTCAGGTTCAATGGATTTTTTCAATCCAGTTTTCTTCTGTCTCAGATTAAATATGTGTGGTCTCCGATAAAATATGTGAGGTCTCCGATAAAATATGTGTAATCTCCGATGAAATATGTGTAATCTCCGATGAAATATGTGTATTCTCCGATTAAAATGTGTATTCTCCGATAAAATATGTGTATTCTTCGATGAAATATGTGTATTCTCTGATAAAATAGTGTATTCTCCGATGAAATATGTTTATTCTCCGATGAAATATGTGTATTCTCCGATGAAAAATGTGTAATCTCCGATTAAAAATGTGTATACTTCGATTAAAAATGTGTATTCTCCGATGAAAGATATGGTCTAAACCTCAATATTTTAGAGCTATGTGTTCCAAGCATTGGAGAGTATTGTGGATGAAGTAGATATAGAAACCTTATCCAACAACGCTGAATCCATTCTTTATTATTCCTGTTGTATTCTCTGGTCTGAGTCTAGATACAAGGATGATGTAGTATCAGTCCTTGGTAAAATGCTTGCCAGACTCAGTTCTCAGTTTCTACCTCATGCTCCTCAAATACTTACTCTACTTTCAGGAATTTAAAACTACTGAAAATTTAAAGATTTAACTTTGAATAATCAGAGACCGAATTTAAAGAATTTGAGCCGCGGATTAAATTTAAGCCGCGGCTTAAATATGGTTGGTTCCAATTAAATTTTTCAAGATTCAAGCCGGCGCTCAATTGAAACCGTTTTTTGGCAGATTTAAGCCGCGGCTCAAATTCATTAAATTCTGACACAGGTTTAATGTTTTGAAGGCTGAAATTAACTATCCGCCATTCTACTAATTGATTAAAAAGACTAAAGACGTAATTTCAATTAAGCAACCCTTTAACTGGAGAGTGGCATGTACAATTCACAAAAATAACCAGAAACCTTTGTCAGATCAAGGAAGAATGAGATATCCTTATTAGTCTTCTTGAAAATGGTTTATTTTCAATTGGTGTTTCTCTTTAAAAGTGTCATGCGCATTTATGCTACAAAATAAATTAAGCAAATTAACATTATTTTCTAGAAAAACGCCAACATCTTTCTTAATGTCACTTGTATAATCAATTAAGGGTACAATTGTGAATCAGACATGTCACTCTTTTAAAAGGAGAGCAACGTTAACGTCTAAACTCCCTTTAAGCAACAAAGGAAACAAGAACTGGGAACTTTAGAATGGATAACCTTTAATCCCAACTACTCAATCCGAATATCCACTGTGGAAACTTTTAATTTTAGTCCTTAATCCATTTTTTTCTCCTCTCTCTTTGGATATCTGTAGATTGTTTTCTTCAATGAGAGTGCATGAATATACTTCTTCAATTGTATTTTCAGCCTTGAAAATAAATTCTATCCCATGACAGAAATCCGCAATTTCTAAGAAATAAAGAATTTGCTGTCTATCATTTGTAAATTAATCGGTAAAGAGAATATTTAATAATATGTTTTAGATTCTTTTTTAACCAATTTTAACTAATGTATTAAAAAACTAATGGGAGAGAAATTAAGTGAAGATCTTTCCTGTCAAGAAAACGAACAAATCTGGGGTTCCTAGAATTAAAATTGTTAATCTAGATATTTAATCTCGAGACTAACACAATCTCAAGATTATATTAGTCTCGAGATTAGCATTAATCCTGATATCCACCATTCTAAAGTTCCCAGCTAAGCTTACAGATGAATGGAACCAAGAATCTGAGAAAACGAAACTGAATACATTCCGTAGAGTTGTCTCGTGTACTTTCTGGGTTACTCTGTTATAGTTAAGCTTTGTTAAATGGAACATAGACATAATTGAAAGCATATAAGTAGTTAAAATGTTGGTAGGATGTTTGAGCACACCTGGAGATATTAGTTTGACGCAAGGAGCTCTTGGGCTAATAGGAGATATTTACAGGAGTTTAAGTGAAAACTTGTTTAATCTTCAACATGATCCTAATAATGTAATAACTCTTATCCTAAACTTACTAAAAGATCAAAATGTTTCCAGTGAACTAAAACCATCTTGCTTTGGAACATTATCTGATGTAATCAACCATGTTCAAGGAGAAATTCAACCCTTCCTTCATCCCATTCTTGCTGTTCTTGGTGAAGCTGGAATTGCTTGTGTTCAAACTCCAGAAGAGAAGGAATCTGAAGGAGTCTGTAATGAGCTAACTAAAAATGTATTGGACACCTTCTCATCCCTGATCCAGACACTGGAGTCGGAACCATGGTTCAGGGAGGCTTTTTCAGAACAATATCTCCGCAAACTTTTAGATTTTATCCAGCTTTGTGGAAACTATTATAAAGATTCTGAAGACACATTTGCTTCACTTTGTGGGCTTACTGGAGATATAATTAAATTTATAAACGATACTGACATTGATGTGGACCAAACTGGGATCAAGGATATTATTGAAAAGGGTTTAGCTTCAAGATGGAGTAGAGTAAGAAAAATAGCTAAGTGGGCAAAAAATCAAACTATCCCAGGTTATAAGTTTTATTATAAACCCAACGAATTTGTCATTTTTTAATGGATGTCATTTGTCAAAAGTTTGTTTATGCTTTTACTATTTAGGCAAATAATTAGGTGGATTTGGAATATAAGGGACAATTAACCTTTGTAATAGAAATACAATTTTTACCAAACTTTTTAATAAAGGAGATAATTTTAATTTGTTTTATGCTTTATGAGAATGAATGGAAAACCCTTTTTTTCTTTTTTTTCGTTTTCTTCAATTTTTTATATAAAAATTATAATTTTGATATTTCAGTTGGCAGCTCTGAAGTGGTAAAAAAAGCTCGCCTTTCAGGATCCGGCCTCCAAGTTCAAACTTCAGGATCCGGCCTCCCAGATCAAACTTTTTTCATGAAAGTAACATTATCCTGTAGTGGGCAATATATTACTCAGCATATAGGTAACATTATCCTGTAGTTGGCAGTATATTAATCAGCATATAGGTCACATTATCCTGTAGAGGACAGTATATTAATCAGCATATAGGTAACATTATCCTGTAGTTGTCAGTATATTACTCAGCATATAGGTAACATTATCCTGTAGTTGGCAGTATATTACTCAGCATATAGGTAACATTATCTTGTAGTTGTCAGTATATTACTCAGCATATGGGCAATATAATACTCAACATACATGTAACATTATCTTGTAGTTGTCAGAATATTACTCAGCATATAGGTAATATTATCCTGTAGTTGTCAGTATATTACTCAGCATAAAGGTAACATTAACCTGTAGTGGGCAATATATTACTCAGCATATAGGTAACATTATCCTATAGTTTTCAGTATGTTACTCAGCCTATAGGTAACATTATCCTGTAGAGGACAGTATATTACTCAGCATATAGGTAACATTATCCTGTAGTTGTCAGTATATTACTCAGCGTATAGGAAAAATTATCCTGTAGTTTATTACTCAGCACATTGGTTACATTATCCTGTAGTTGTCAGTACATTACTCAGCATATAGGTAACATTAACCTTTAGTAGGCAATATATTACTCAGCATATAGGTAACATTATCTTATAGTTGTCAGTATATTACTCAGCGTATAGGTAACATTATCCTGTAGAGGACAGTATATTACTTAGCATATAGGTAACATTATCCTGTAGTTGTCAGTATATTACTCAGCATATAGGTAACATTATCCTGTAGTTGTCAGTATATTACTCAGCGTAAAGGTAACATTATACTGTAGTTGTCAGTATGTTACTCAGCGTATAGGTACCATTATCCTGTAGTGGTCAGTATATTACTCATTATATGGGCAATATATTACTCAACATATAGGCAACATAATCCAGTACTTGGCAGTATATTACTCAGATAACATTATCCTGTAGTGGACAGTATATTACTCAGTATAAAGGTTATTAAAAAGATTCAGATTTGTGTGTTTTTATTAAAATCTATATACATAATATATTCTTTTCAACTTTTGAATATTTATTCAATAAAATTTTTAAAACAAGTACTTCCAGTCATAATCATAATGCATTACAAATACATTCGTTTTCATTCTAATCACCATGCCATGTTTTAACAATTTTTTTTACTCAAGTTTAATGGTTCATGATTTTAGGAACACACTGTATCCCCCCCACCCTCTCTTGGTAGTTGGAATTCAACCTGTTCAAAAATAATTTTTAAAAATAAAAATATAAAACAATAGGACCAGATTATGAATTATGATCATTTCACAGTTTTTTTAATATTCAGAAGAAGAGTCTGTAACTGTATTCCTTAAACCTGCAGTCAAGACAGCTGAAGAGGATTCTACCAATATATCTGCTACAGTTCGACTGCCAGCAAGAAGATCACCAGAGATAATATATACACCAGTAAACCATCCACCAGAGATGATAAATGAGATCCAAGACATATCTCAGCTCAGAAGATTACGGAAGAAAAGAGTTGCTGTGATTTCAGATGAAAGATCAAAGAGATCAAGGGACATGGAAGCGCTTTGGTGATATTTTACATGGATTCCGAAGACTCCATGGTAATCTTTAAAGAAATAAATATCTTATTTTTTAACCTATATAATATATATGAAAATTTATGATATTTATATGTATATAATTATATAATATCTAAGGAATTCTAAGGAAAGATTAAAGAGATATAATATATATATAAAATATATATTTAAACATCTAAAATGTATATTTAAACTGAAAAAAGTTGAAAATACTATATAATTATATAATATCTATAGATCAATTGTTTTTATAGGTATTGCACCAATGGCAGCCAATTTCAAGTCAAAAGAGATTAAATTAATTCTCAATTTGTGATATTTTTAAATTTTCATTGCCAAACTACATAATAAAAAGACTTTTATGCAATGCATTGTTATTTTTGGAATGCTAACAAAATCATATTAGTTTTTCATCTTAATTTTTACTGTCAACATAGTTTCAAGAGTTTCAAACCCGATTTACTACAGTTCCCTTTAAATCATTTCCTGAGGAAAGATTAAAGAGATATCCTTGTTTTTCCATCTGAAAGTCAAACATGTTCAATCCGGGTACGCTTTGATTTTGACTTGCGGATATATGCAGCAAATACAAGGAAATAAATATGCAGAGTATATGTTTATCGAATAGAAAAAAACGACTACATCTTCCTTATCGGTACTTAGATACTAACTACTCAAGTGGACAGTGGCTGATAACGTCAATAGTCTCTTTAACAATACTGTTATTTCAGATTTATCAAACATAGTCAATTATCTTTTATTACATAAAGAAAATATATTTAACACACTCCTTAAGAGTTTTGTTAAACTATAATCTTACCAAAGCCAAGATTAATTACGGAACAAAGTGTATAAAAACCTATATTATGAAAATTAGAAAAGTGTTCAAGGCTGACCAAATAAAATAGGGAATTAAAGGAAGACTTTACAAAGGGGGTGCTTGCGAAAAAGGAAAGGGGGTATAGGCTTAATGAGATAAAAAAGCGCTTTTTATCGCTGCTAATCTTACTTCTATCTGTTGCGTCTTAAAGGAGAAAATTGTTAAAGACGTCTCATATCGAAGAACATACAAATTGAGGAAATTGCGACATTCGACTTAGACCGTAAAAAATCAAGTTAGTTTCAAACAAATCATTCAGATATTAAAACCTATATTCATCGATTATCTTTCGCCACATTTGTATATAGTTTATATTTTATAATACTTTTTTATTAATTTTTTTACATTTACTTTTTTAGAAAACGTTTTTAACGGATTTCGAAAAATGTGAGTGGTGCGCGGCATTCTAAGATAGTTGCGCAAGCGACAAGAGAAATAATCAAATTCAAAACAAATTAATTAAAAAATATTATAAAATATAAACTATATACAAATGTGGCGAAAGATAATCGATGACTATAGGTTGTAATATCTGAATGATTTGTTTGAAATTAAATTGATTTTTTTACGGTCTAAGTCGTATGTTGCAATTTTCTCAATTTGTATGGGCGCTAAGTTATTCGGTATGAGACGTCTTTAACAATTTTCTCCTTTTAGACGCAACAGATGGAAATAAGATTAGCAGCGATCAAAAGCACTTTTTATCGCATTAAGCCTATACCCCCTTTCATTTTTCGCGAACACTCCCTTCAAGATGCTTAAACGATCGAAAATGTTCGATAGACCCCTAGATTTATAAAATCTAGTCTGAGCTGAAAACGTTAGGATGGGATATCCTTAATCCCAATCGGTTAGTTAATCTGGAGATAATAACAAGTTTGTCAAGGTGGTCCCCATGCTGAAGGTCGAGATTATTACAAAAAAGTTGTAATTTTTGTGTGACATTAAATAGAACTTTAAAACCATTTTATATAAGACAATCACATTTAATTGAAAATTTATTTTACAAGAAAAATGAATTATCAGTTATTTCTGATCCATGCCACTGCAAATACATTTGAACATACATTGATGGAGTTCTTATTTTCCTTTCTTTTCCTTGCTTCCTTTCTTTCCTTTCTTTCCCTTCTTTCCCTTCTTTCCCTTCTTTCCTTTCTTTTCTTTGCTTTTCTTTCCTTCTTTGCTTCCAGATTCAGAACTTCCAGATTCTTCACTGCTATCAACTGTTGTTGTAGTTGTTTCAGTAGTAGTGGTTGTTGGGGCAGCAGTAGTTGTAGTTGTTGTGGTAGATGTAGTAGAAGTAGTTGTAGTAGTGGAAGTTGTTGTGGTAGTAGTAGTGGTAGTAGTAGTAGTTGTGGTAGTAGTAGTAGTCGTGGTAGTAGTAGTAGTAGTTGTGGTAGGAGGTGCAGTACATTTCAAGTCTCCTGTACCATCTGGTGAACAGGATAAATCTGTACAGCAGACTCCAACATCATAAGCACAAGATACTCCCTCTGCTAGACAAATATCAAACTGACAATAGCTGCTGCCTTCAATACCATTCGTAATCACTGGACTAAATATATTAAAATCAAATATATATTATAAAAAGTAGTAATTTTTTTTGTTTGTTTGGATGTCCGATCATAACTCATGAACCCCTGGACCAATTTGCCTCAAAATTTGAATGGAAAACTCGGTAAGACTACGGAAAAATGATTAGCATGGTTATGAGATTCTAAATTGAGTGGGTCCACTTTTATAGGGAAAATTGCTAAATCATAATTTACGATAAAGCGCCGGTTAACAATGCGTTCCCTGGGCATCGCTGGATTCTCAAGCTAGTTGATAATAAATTATTAAGATATGTAAACAGGTGGAACTGCTTTATATATCCAGCTAATTAATTTTTATAAAAAATAAGTCTGAATCAAAAAATATCTTTATATTTTGATAAAATTATAATGTATACTTGCAACTGGTTCCAGATGGACAAGGAGTACAAGTGCTCAATCCAGAAAACTAAAAATATACATTTTTTTGTTTTGGAATTTTTATTAATTAATTGATGAAAATACCTTGTTAAAACAAAGATCCCCTGCACCAGTACATGCTGCTTGGGCAGAAATACTGGTAGCTGTGGCTAAGACTCCTGCAGTACACTTTATTCTTTAAAGATGTAAACAAAGTCGGAATATTGAACATTTTTATGTAAACAAAGAATGTAAACAAGTTTTTTCAAAAATAAGATTACTCTAAAATAATAATTTATAGGACTTAGTGTCATTATCAGAAAACTGTTTTATTAGAATAAGTTCCTAGAAGAATGAAGGAGAACATCTTGAATAACTGGTTTAGTTGCCTGGGTTTCCAATTATTTATACAATAAACATCTTTCCAAGTGTTTATTTTTTAATATTTCTCTTGACAGATCAATATAAATTTAAATTAAATTGTATTTTGCTTCAAATTAGAAACCTTCATTTTGTAACCCAAAGAAGGGTGTTTCAAAATTCACTGTAAAAGTATCATTCATCAATCTATTTAAAGGAATTAAAGGAATTTTAACATATGATATGGTACAAAAAATCACATGAAAAGAATTTTCTGGAATTTTTGCTGACTTTCACAGAATATGAAAAAAAAGTTTTTAAAAAAGGAAATTTAAACCAAATTGACATGTAAATAATTGAAACTGTTAGAGTACTTGTCAAATATTTAAATTAAAAAATAAAATTTTATTTTAAAATGAAAGTTCTTGTGCCTTAGTAATAAAAACACTTGATAAGATGTTTATTGTATAAATATTTGGAAACCCAGGCAACTAAACCACTTATTTAATATGTTCTCCTTCATTCTTCTAGGAACTTATTCTAATAAAACAATACCTTTCTTGATTTTAGTCTTTTAGTTTCAGAAGTTTTTTCATCAAACTTTAACATCTTAGCAAAATAGAGAATTCTTTAATATAACTTAATCATTATTTATCATTTTCTAAAGCTACATTAACGTATTATTAATATTAAGTTATTGAAACATTTTAAAACTGAATCTTTTAAAGAATAAATTAAACCGTAGGAGTTCTAGCCTGCACAGCAACAAGTATCTATGGCCAAGATACTACTACTACTACTACTATTGCCCCTACTACTACCACTACACTTTTAATTGTCCCTATTACTACAACTGTAGCAACTACTACTGCTGATCCTACTACAACAACAGTTGATAGCAGTGAAGAATCTGGAAGTTCTGAATCTGGAAGCAAAGAAGGAAAGAAAAGTAAAGAAAAGAAAGGAAAAAAAGGAAAGAAGGGTAAGAAAGGAAGCAAAGAAAAGAAAGGAAAATAAGAACATCCTGATCCCTAAGATGATTAAACATGGATTAGTAAGAAAAAATATTATTCCTCGAAAGTTATGATTTGTAAAATTAAATTTGAATAATAAATATGCATTTATCATACATTTGTGAGTTAGGAAAATTCTCTATTTGTGAATAAAGAATACTTGTTAACTTGAAATAATTTTAGTATATTATGAAATACATCTAATAAGTGCTCCATTTTTAAGCTCTGAATCTGTAAGTTCTGGATTATTATAATTATTAAAAACATTTCCTAAACAATTTATAAAAAGCAAGTTCTACTTGAAGAATCTCTTGCCAGAAAGAAGGAAAATGCAAACATAGGAAGTAAAATCCAAAGGTTTACCATGCCCTATATACTGTGCTGACTGCAAGGAAAAGATTGGTGTAGACAAGGCCGTATTTTGAAGCACTGTTATTGTCGGATAGGAACAAGATTCTGACGATGAACAGATAGACAACGGAATAACCCTCAAATCAAAATCGATAATGCAGAAAACTCTTTATTTCCTAAAAAAAATGAAATGAATAATGATAAATAATTATTACAATGGTTTACAAATTTATAATAAAAAGATTCTTACAATCTATTTGAGTATTTGTGGGTTAAACTGTCGGGGAGTCCTAAGACGCTTTTTTATACATTAAAACTTCTGAAAAGAGTGACAATTAAATGTTAAGGAAAGTCACTAATTCTTTATATGAAAATATTCTTTGCTTAACTTTGAAGTGGTTCACAATTAATAAAAGTGTTTATACTCCGTTGTCGGAGAACAAAGAGAAGCGGGCTGAAATAGTTTGGTTTGGTTTCTCGTCTCCGAGAGGAGCTTTTAGGTTGAAGACGACATTACATGGAGG